CCAGGGATGCAGGACAGTGTGTTGCCCAGGGATGCAGGACAGTGTGTGCTCAGGGATACAGGACAGTGTGTGCTCAGGGATGCAGGAGAATGTGTGCCCAGGGATGCAGGACAGTGTGTGCTCAGGGATGCAGGACAGTGTGTGCCCAGGGATGCAAGAGAGAGCCAAGTGGCCAGGAGCTGAAGTGAAGATGTGGTTGACAGTGAAGTAAGGTCAGCCCTGCATCATGTTTTGGGCCACAGTCTGGGCTGTATATTCTATCCTAATAGAAGGAAGGGAAGACACTCAATGTTTTTTAAATAAAAGCTACTTTTTTATGTGCCTTCGACTAGGTCTTTAATTAGAGGTATATTAGCTTTTTTTTTTTTTTGGTTTTTTTTTTTTTTTTTTTTTTTTGGTTTTTCAAGACAGGGTTTCTCTGTTTAGCCCTGGCTGTCCTGGAACTCACTCTGTAGACCAGGCTGGCCTCGAACTCAGAAATCCGCCTGCCTCTGCCTCCCAAGTGCTGGGATTAAAGGCGTGCGCCACCACCGCCCGGCTATATTAGCTTTTATTAAGATAAATTGTTGAAGTTATATTTTCTGAACTGAAACTGGAATGTGCTTAGTGATTTCATAGAGCATTGGTTACAGCAGAGGGCTCATTTTCTTTAGAGTTCTCAAAAGATGTCAGTGCTGCTGGTTCTGCCTGTGGACATTTGGAGTTAAAGTTGGAGCTGTAGGATTAACTTACCTCTTTTTCTGTCATTGTTTCTATTTTTGATTATAAATAGCATAGCTCAGTTTTAGTCATAATAACTAATAAATATTTTTCTCTTTGACTTGAGAGTTGTATTTTATAGAAACCACTGATGAATATATAAACTATTTCTCTATGACTACATATGATCTCTGACTTCAGAAGGTAATATAATAAAAAGCCATATTAAAGAGACAGCTCTAGAAATGAAGATACATCAAATGAGAGAAACTGTTTAACAAAAGTTTGTAAAGTTATAGGTAGAAAAGTTTTGAAATTTAGATGAATACAATTTGAGATTATGTTACAGTATTTTAATAAGATGAATAAGTCTTTTATTAAATATTTTTCTTTACATTTCTTTCTAGATTTAATCACTTGTTTGGATACTGTATCTAATTTTTTGGAACCTGAGTTCAGGTATGAACGTGTGTGTGTGTGTGTGTGTGTGTGTGTGTGTGTGTGTGTCCCAGTGTCCCAGCACACCTTTTCATTCTCGTTCTTTCACACTGCATGGTACTGTGTAAAGCGTGATACATAACTCATCACTGGTTAAACCTCCAGTCAAACAGTACTTACTTAAAGTCACCCAGTTACCATGTTTAAATTTGACTTCAGCTGAAGTAGCGATTATAGCTCTAAAACAGAAGCATAATTTTTTTTTGTTTATTGTTTTTATGGAGATGTCTATAATACAGGGTCTCACTGTGTGGCCCAAGTTGGCCTAGAACTCATGATCCTCCTGCCTCTGTGTCCCAGGTGCTGTGGTTCTAGGTGTTCTAGGTAAAGTCTACTCTGAAGGGAGAAGGGCTCAGTCTCTTAAATCTGGCAGGACCGCTCCTAGAGTAGAGAAACTGTTCTTAATTTTATCTGAATATTATTTTTATCCTTTAAAGGTCTCACACATTTATAAAATATAGATTGGTAATAGTCATCCACCACTACCTTCCCTTGAAGTCCCTTAGTGCCTCCCAGATTCATGGCCTCATGCATGAGTGGCCATCACTGGGGCACAGTCAGTTTTACCAGTGGCCAAACCCTCAAGGTGAGTAACTCCCTCTCAGCAAGCATCAACTGTTCTTCAGATGGGACTTGAGGCTCAGAGTCTTTATTTTTCTTTCCAGATAGATAGAATGATTGGTAGATAGATAGATAGATAGATAGATAGATAGATAGATAGATAGATAGATATTATCTAAATAGATAGGTAGGTAGGTAGGTAGATAGATACAGAGATACAGAGACACAGAGATACAGAGATACAGAGATAGATACAGAGATTGATTGATGGCATAGGCTATAAGCGCATTCTTGGTGTTCTTACTCCAGCAATATTTGCTTTATGCCTTTGTCTTGTGCTTGGATAAGAATTGATTTCTCCTTGATTTCCCATTTCTAATCTTTTATATTTGTGGAGAGTGTCAAGACAGGGTTTCTCTGTGTGGTTCTGGCTGTCCTAGAACTTAGTGTGCCAGGCTGGCCCCAAACTCAGAAATCCACCTGCATCTACCTCCTAAGTGCCAGCATTAAAGGCATATGCCACCATGCCTGGCCCCATTTCTATCTTGGTTGACTTTCTTCTGTTAGTCATACTACTGGCATTTGATTTTCTGAAATGCAAGTCTGATTTTCCTGCTTAAAACTCTTTGAAAGTCTTGGATGGATGGGTGGATGGATGGATGGATGGATGGATGGATGATGGATGGATGGACGGACGGATGTAAAAGCTGTGCATATTCCCCAACCCAGTTTCCAGTGTCTTTGACAAGCAGCCCTTGGGTCTTCCCTGCAGTCTTGTCTCTATGCAGTGTTTAAGCTGCTCCTGGGACAATTGGCATAGAGTTACCTCACTGCTTAGCAGAACACTCTCATCTTTTCTTCATGCCCTTTTCAATAATTTTTCCATGATGGTACTCCCCTAAAGAACGTTTCAAGACTGGTTCCCAGAGCTAGGGAAAGCTTGGTCAGTAGAGCTGTTCAGTCTCCCAGACCTTACATAAAAAGCCAGGCATGGCAGCACACTCCTATTACCCCAGTGCTGGGGAGGTAGAGACAGGATCCTGGAGCTCAGGGCCAGCCTAGCCCAGTTGATGAGTTTGTTCTTCTTTATTTATTTATTATGCATACTGTGTTCTGCCTGCATATGTGCCTGCCAGAAGAGGGCACCAGATCTCATTAGATGCTCATAGATGGTCCAGAGCCACCATGTGCATGCTGGGAATCGAATGTAGGACCTTGAGAAGAGCAGCCTATGCTCTTAACCTCTGAGTCATCTCCCCAGCCCCCGAGTTTGAATTCTTGGTTCAGGGTGAAAACCTGTCTCCAAAAAATAAGGTGAAGAAATACTGAGGAGCGTCCCTGGCGTTGACTCCATCCTCTGCATACAAATGAACATGCACTCATACACACAGACATGTGTGCACACAGAGCATTGTTACTACTGTGGAAACATGCTACCTTCAGTGTTGTTCAGTGTGTCCTGGGCAACATGGCGGAAGGGTCAGCTGGGCTCCGGTTTCCAGCACTGTCATCACCAGACACATCTGAGCTCTACTTCCGCTCATAACTCTTTGTTTCCTAGAAGCCAGACTAACCTCTGAAAAGTTCCTCATCAGGTTGCACCTGTAAGCTGTCCTGATCCTTTACTGGCTTCCTACTTTTATCTAGAAGTATATCCCCTACTTCAAAGCCCACATGGCTTCTGTGGGATCTGGATCCTGCCCCTCTAACCTTCCTGTAGTCACTACACTTTTTCAGGAACACTCCTGACCCTCTGTCTGGGCCATGCTCTTCCTAGCTGCTAGTGTGCATATCCTGTCACTGACTTACCTCAGTGGTACCCACTAGCTCAAATAAGCTGTGTCAAGCTGTGTGTAAGAGGAGCCAAGCTTTGTGACTCGTGTACACCATTCTTTTACCTTCCTTGTCTGTAAAATAGGAATAATAATAATAGTACAATTATCATAATAATATATAATAAGAACACTTGGGGTTCTGCCCCGTGCATAGCATGTTTGCTGAATGTATGATGTGTTTTATTAAATAGGAATTCTCCCAGTTATTTCAAAATACCCTTCCCCACCCCAAATATCTGTGTGAGTCCTGGCTAAATGGTTTCTTCCACCACTTGAATGTGGACTTAGGTGACAGGGCTATGTTTGTTTAGTTAGCATTCATAAGTCACAGACCTCATCAGATAACGTGGCAGACATTCATAAAAACCTGTGAGCTATGGTGACTAGATCTCACAGTAGAAAGATGTCTGATGCTCAGAGTGAAGAAGGAATTGTAGATTTTCAAGGACATTTCTTGTCAGTGAGTTCAATATGTGTGGGTGGAAGAAGTCTATATGGGCTATTTAACAAGACATGGCTCCGTTCCACGCTGGGGCTGTGCTCTGTATGCTGGATGGAAGCATGTGTGAAGTGTATGTGGTCTCTCTTTGGCATATCTTCCTGCAGAAAGTGAGCATTCTGTAATCTTTCCCTTGTTTTCATTCTCAGTAAGTACTGCCCAGCTGGCTGTCTGCTGCCTTTTGCTGAAATATCTGGAACAATTCCTCATGGATATAGAGATGTAAGTTGAATACAGACGTACTTCACTGCTGCGGAGACTGATTTGAAACTCAAAAACCCTTAGGATGCCACCAGGTTGTCCCAAAATGAATATGTATTATGTGTCTCTGTCTTCTCATATGTTTGATATCTTTATAGTAAAATTAATGCTTCTGCTAAAAATGTGTTTTGTTACAATAACCTGTGTTTCTGAGATCAGATGTTTGGAGAAAGAATAAGTATCTTGCTTATGAATAATGAATCAGGAAAAATTCATTTTCTGTTTTGTGTTTGTTGTTTGCTTTTTCAAGTCTTCCCCATTGTGTATGGCTGGAATCCATGCAGGAGTGGTGTCGAACGTGCTGGGCGGCCAGGTCAGCGTTGTGATTAGCAAAGGCACACCATATTACGAAAGCTCTTTGGCCAACAACGTCACCTCCACGGTGTAAGTGCAAATACTCTTTGTAATAAGCATGCTGTTTTCTTTTATATAATTATTTGCACATCCTTTCCTTATTTTCTGTGCTCTACCCTTTAGAGAGAGTTTGTGGGCATGGGCCATTTCCTTTCCTATGTAAAACAGTATGTTTTTCAGCATTGTAAGAGTTAACAGTAGGTTATGTGCCAATATCATACCATCTTATATAAAATATTCGAACATTTGCTGAATTCATATCTGTCAGGGAGTATGGGATGTCCTGGATCTCGGCCCCACAGATATCAAGGCACAAATGCATGTGTGTAGGTTTCTGGTGGAATCCAAGATGTGTGTGATGGTGTGTGCCTGCAATCCCCAGGCGTAGGCCATGGAAGCAAGAGGATGGGAGGTTCACAGTCACGCTGAGCTATTCAGTGATTTCAAGGCCAGGAAAGGCTGCATGAGAGAGACCCCGTCTCAAACAAAATAAAGATTTTGCATCCTCTTGTTACTGTTTGAACATAGTGTTAAGGGCAGGGGGGTAACTGAACACCCTCCAGGTCTCCTGGAGTGTTAAGTGTTCTTAGATCCTCTAACAGGCAAGTTCTTCTTTTATCTGACCCTTCCTCCTCCTCAGCTAACTCACAGACAGGCTGATTTTTCTCCCAAGGGAAATGCAGTAGCCAGGTCTAGTGTGTTAATAACCAGGAGACTTTAGTCTCACCTCATCCTCTGAAAACACATCTCTTCATGTTCTTTCGCAGTAGTAAAAAAGAAAACAGTTTTTTTCTTAAGGATTTATTTATTGTATATACAGTATATAGCGTTCTGCTTGCATGCTTGCCTGCTGGTCAGAAGAGGGCACCAGATTACATTACAGATGGTTTGAGCCACCATGTGGTTGCTGGGAGTTGAATACAGGACCTCTGGAAGAGCAGCTAGTGCTCTTAACCTCTGAGCCCTCTCTCCAGCCCAAGAAAAAAAGGTTTTATTGATCTAGTTCATGAAAAAGAAGAAAAAAGACTTAAAGGTTACATGGACATCTGCACAGCAGTGTGTGAACCTAGGTGATAGACTTGTAGAAAAAGTTCTTTATGGTAATTTCACAAGTTGTTTTACTTAGAAGTGGTTTTTGTTAGTGATGGTTTTTTGTTTGACTGTTTAATGTATATCATTGTCTGATTTGTAGCCCTGGGATCTTAGCCCTTTAGACAATAGAAATTAAAGTTTCACTGTGATGAATATGAGGAACATGTTAATTGAGTATCACATGAGGCCCTTTTTGTCTTACAGGGGCTACTTATCTGCGAGTCTGTTTACATTTAAGACAAGTGGTAAGCCTTCCATGGACTTGGGCTGTTATCTCTACATAATAGCTAATGCTGTATTGACCACCTCCAGGCACCTAGTGACTGCTGAATTGTTTATTCTTTCTCATTTGCTTTCGAGAACACTATGAGTAAAATAGAGTACTAATTATGTAAAGACTAGAACTAAATCAGAATTTCACTATTCACAGGGGAATTGTAAGCAAGTACACGGTCCCCTTGAAAGCTTGATTTGAGCTTACCTGAAGAAAGAATTCATCCTACTGGTGTGAACCTTGAAGTCAGACAGGGATAGCTTTACAGAGGATAAAGCAAAACCTACAGAGATCCAAGGGGAAGTTGCCTTCTAGCCTGCTGGGCCCCCCAAAGACAGGATAGTGTATCTTCATAGACTAACTGCTAATGCTTGTAAATATGTCTAGTTGATGACCCTCAAATCCATAGCTTTTATACCTACAGAATGGAAAGATTCAGAGGTAATCTTGTTTCTGTGCTATGTAGACTTTTTGTCTATATTGTTTCTCTCCAAGCAATATGGTGTTACAACTGTGTACGTATATCACGTACATATTTCCTTTGGCATTGTAAATATCCCAGAGATGACTTAGTGTTGACAGATAGTGTGCTCTATGCCATGCTATCCCGGTCCCTGTTTATATCAAAGATTTGAGCATTTGAAGGCTTTAGTATCCACCAGGGAATATGGGATGTCCTGGAAGTGGACCCCACAGACAACAAGGGACAACTGCATGTTTGTAGGTTTCTGGTGGGACTCAAAGACAAGGGCCCAAGAAGCAGTTACTTAGTTGTTCAATCAGAAGTTTGCAGGATGAACTGTTTTAAAGATTTCAAACTTACCTCTAGGAACCAAATTTATTTTCCTCTCTCCTCCAGGTTGTTATGGGACTCTGGGGATGGAGTCTGGTGTGATTGCTGATCCCCAGATAACAGCATCATCTGTATTAGAGTGGACTGACCACATGGGGCAGGAGAACAGCTGGAAACCGGAGAAGGCCAGGCTGAGAAAACCTGGGCCTCCCTGGGCGGCTTTTGCCACTGATGAGCATCAGTGGCTCCAAATAGACCTTAATAAGGAGAAGAAGATAACAGGTTAAGAGACACGGCTTTCTGCAGCACTGCTAGCACTGATTTTATTTGGAAACCCATGGCAGCTGAAATTTTCGGAAATTAGGTCACTGAAAATTATATAGCTTCAGTTTTCTTCGTGGGTATTAATGTTGCTGGGGGTACTTTTTAAAATTTTGCCCAAAGAGAAATTTGTATTTAATTTTTAATAGTTCTAGTTTAATATGAAAGTAGATTTCAGTAAAGTGATCTTTGAACCTTGAAAAAAAAAATCTTACAGTTATTAAGAAGTTATAGTTAAGGAGAATTTATTTTAAATGCTACAAGTAACTTGTATTCCACATGTACTATGTATAAATGTAACGTAGGTAAACTTAACAGTGATTGGGATAATTTTGGTTTAGATGCGTTGGTGAAAGACTGATTTTTGTCTACCAGTTGTCATGCTTAGTGTTCATTCCCAGGAAATCATTCTGAGTAATTGAAATGTATCTTCTAATGATATGAATACAAGCTGCAAAAGCACAAAGGAGCAAAGCCAGGGGTTTAGTAATAGACAGAAATGTTTATAGGGTGTCTCATAGGTATAGATAGCTGACTTGGGGAATCTGAACCTGTGCACTAATGAGAAGAACTCTATTCTGCAGGTATTGTAACCACTGGGTCTACCATGGTAGAACACAATTACTATGTGTCTGCCTACAGAGTTCTGTACAGTGACGATGGGCAGAAATGGACTGTGTACAGAGAACCTGGTGTGGATCAGGACAAGGTAAGGTGATCCTGTAATGTTCAATGTCTTGTTGTCTCACTCTGCTCTCTTCTGGTTGTTTTAGGTACTGCGTGTTACTGTCTTCATCATTGTCTAAGCAGACTTGTGTCGACTATGTCGGTGATTCTAGGTCTTTGTGATTGTATAATTAGTACTGATTATAATTGTTACTGGATTATTATCCAAGTATTTTGGCTGCTAAAGTAAGAACTTCCAAATAGTTACAATCAATTCCTTGTCTTTATAAAGTCTACCAAATGATGGAGCCTTGACTTTGTTCTCGGACTTTGACTAAACAAGAGGAAGGGTAGGCGGAGTAAAAGCTGAAGTACACTAAAGATAGAAAGGCCATTGTAAGAGCACCTCACCAGTTTCCGTACCAGGAAAACCTTGTGCAGGATTCCCAGAATTTCCAATCACTTTTATAGCATTTTTGTCTTAGTGAAATATTGTGGAGACACTGGATCTGGACAAGCAGGGACAGCATAGGAGAGTAGTGTCAGTGTGTCACTGGGGTGCTGTCGCTTCCCCAGGTTCCTGCTCGACCCTTGAGAGAATCTTAAAGTGAAGGAGCCTCTGTCCCCAGGGAAGATGGGTGCTGTGTGGAGTGGGAACTGATGGCTTTCTCTCTCAGTGACACGCTTTCCTTCAGAGACTTTCCCAGCCCGCTTCTTATTTTGTAATCTATTCAAGTGACTGCATGGCGACCCTGCTGCTCTGTTCTTGTTCTTTCATTAAAATCTTTTCTTCTCGCCTGAAGTGCTGTAGAGGCGTTCGGGTTGGTTTACTTTATTTGTCTTTCCATTGTTTTTGTCTTCTGAAGTGTCCAATCTTTTAATCTCATCTAATGCATTTTTTAACTCCAATGGTGTATTTTTTTTTCTTCTTCATTGTTACCTTGGATTTTAAATTTTTCTTCCATATAGTTTTTCATAGGTATATGAATGTGGAGCATGTAACTCCTTTAGTGTGCTCATCTGGTAACTTTGCCAAACACATACCTCAGTGCCAGCCATTATGCCATTGATTGCTTCTGGATGTTTTTATTAGCATCATTAATCCTTTGTGTGTGTGTGTGTACATTTATATATATATATATATATATATATATATATATATATATATATATATATATCTTTATTCTGGGATGCAATTAAGCTATAGGAAAACATTTTTTTTCACATATTGCTAGGCAAGAATGAGCAGCTTTGGGTTCTAACTTGCCAGTCACCATTGAGACAGCATCCCGTGTATTATGAAATTTACTCGTGTGTGCTGATGAAGGAGAGTGTTTGGAAACCTGTGTTATCGTAAGCTTGTTCTACTCGTTGCAGGGTTCTTTTTCTGACGCTAAGTTGCTTCTGCCTGAGGACTTAGGGGCTATCCCTTACAGAGCCCAGTAGCCTGGCTGTAGTTCATCCATTCCTGCTGTCACCCATTCTATTCTTTTCCAGTCCTTACTCTGCTAAGCTCCACTCCAGAAACTCTAGGTGTCGGTTGGCCTCGTGGTTTCTGGCTCTTCATGCTCCATCAGATGGTCCAGACTAGCAGGTGCCTTAGAGTGTGAGATGCTCTTGCCCCCTGACCTGGAAATTCACCAGTCAGTACTGATACGCAGAGCTTGCCTGCTCTGTGGTTCTGACCCTCTCCTGCCCGTCGCCCAGTGTCTTGAGGACTACTGCGTCATGCACTTTCCCAGTTCTTCAGTTGTTTATGGCTAAGGTCCAGCTTTTCTCACTCAGTTACTGACAGAAAAGGAAGTCTCTGAACTGAATGAAATAGCACATTTCTTTGCACTTAAATCTGCCCATCTGTTCACTTCTTGGGTAACTTGTATTTGTTTTGACACATCTTCTAGGTCTGCACATACACACAGAGCCTAAACTTAATTTTATTTCCAGAAAGTATAACCAATATCCTAAACTTTCATAATTTATTGCATTTTGATATTACACCGTCTTTGTATTCAGGGGCAAATGAGAGAGAATGTATGTACTTTTTTATTTAATTTTTCCTGAAGATGTCTCACAAACTTCCCTGTGGACCGGATTCTCAGCAGATGTTGGCACATTGACTAGAGCATTTTGTTAGGGTCTCATATAGCCTAGTGTGGACTGTGTAGTTGAGGATGGCCTTGAACTTCTGATTCTCAAGCTGTTATTACAGATATGCTCCACCATACCCAGTTCTATGCGGTGATGAGGCTAGAACGTAGGGCTTTGTGCACATAAGCATGCAGTCTACCAACTGGGCTACATCCCCAGCCTTTGCCAATAGTTATGTCCTGAAATGATGTTTCAATTAGTTCCCATTCACTAAGAACAAAACTGTAACCATTGGACTTTATTCATTTCAGAGCAGTATCTAGGGAAAGCATAAAAGCTTACAGAAAGGGGGACTATTGGAAGTTTAGAGCGAACATTATAGAAAATAAAAGATCTTAATGTATCTTCAAGCATGTATAATCTAGTTACATTCGGATGGACCAGGAAGAAATAGCTATCATACTTGGGAATGACTTAAGTCCAGTATGTGCGTGTTGTCTCTTTAGTTTATAGAGTGGGCGTGGCTAGTTTGGCACAAGGGGAAAGCAGAGCCCTGCTTAACTCAATGCAGCCCTGTGATTAAGTCAGAAGTCACGGTCAACTCAGCTCCTGCTGCTGGCCAGACACTGTCCCTCAGTGGGCACTCTTTCTGTCCCCTGCCTTGAAGACCACTTATGGCAAGTACATGAAAATACTGTATTATTAAGGACTGACTGAGGAGAAGACACATTTGCTTGAAAGGGTTGAAGTAATGAGATAATCACTCTTAATCATGTTTTTTACTTAAAGATTGTTTTTATAATGCACTTGTAGCTGTCTAGACAGACGTTAAATCAAAGACAGAACAGTATTTCAGGGTTATTAATTGCTACTGCACATAAGCAACAAGCGATGAAAACTGGGATTGTGGTGTGAGGAGTGCCATAACATGGTTGGTCCAGCAGGTGGAGGTATAGGCCTGTTCACAGCCAGCCCACTGAGAGGATTCTAAAGTGAACATGAGCTAAGCATCTTGATCAGGCCTTTGTGTGATGGCTCTTTTTCACTTTAAGTATAGAAGTTTAGATAGTTGTTAGTTCCAGAGGGACTGAGGTTGACAGTTTATTGATGCAATAAACTGTGTCCCTGCAATTGAAACATCTCCCATTTGGCCAGGTCAGTGCTCCTGTTCAGTTCCTAAGCCATCCTGACGACATTTTTATAGTTAGTGTTTCCCTCAGATCAGCTTCCATGTAAAATGTGCAGCTTCTTAATAACTGCTTTTCCAGATGGTAATCGAGTCATTTTCTGAGAAGTCTGTTCTATCGTCATACTTTGTCTATGTTGTTGAACATGCTTAGGTGGAGCAGTCCAGTTCCGGTCTCTTTTTGATGTAAAATACCAATTTTTGTTATTTTTTAAAGATATTTCAAGGAAACAAAGATTATCACAAGGATGTTCGTAATAACTTTTTGCCACCAATTATTGCACGTTTCATTAGAGTGAACCCTGTCCAGTGGCAACAGAAAATTGCCATGAAAGTGGAACTGCTCGGATGTCAGTTTACTCTCAAAGGTAAAGAGCCAGTGTGGCTAACAGTGGACCTCACCATTTCGCTTTTAAATTTCCTAAAACCGGCACACAGTAATCACACATATATGGGATACTGTGACATTTCAGTACGTGTATGCATATACAATGATCAGATCAGGTGTAACGGTCATCTCTGTCACTTCGGGTAGATACTATTGCTTTATTGGACACCTCTCAACGTCCTGTCTCTAGTAAGAACTGATTATTTGTTTTCCTGTTAAAAAGTTGTCATCGGAATGGTTTCAGAATACAAATGAGAAAGCAGCAGCATTCTTGTGAGAGTGTTTTGTGATTGCTCTCCAGTTCTGGTCTTGGAGACTTAAAATTAGGTTCTGTGTATTGAGATACATGCATTGAGGATTGGAACAGCAACCTCAGCTTGAGTAACTTTTATTTTGAATTAATTAAAACTAGAATCAAGTCACTCAATGTTATATGATATTGTAATATTATTTACTTATTCTACAAAGCTATCATTGTGCCTGGCATAGTCGGCTCTCCATACATACTCATTAAAATTAACTGAATATGACATGTATTATAGCTATAAAACTGAACAGCATTCTGCTCCCCAATAATCTTCTAAGATTACCTACTAATTATCTAATTATTTAAAAGCTGGAAAATCTTATAAAGCCTGAAAAATCTAAGTTTTTCTGCATTTAATGCAAAGTATAATTATCCATCTGGATTCTGAGGTTTAAAGTTGTTCTGCAGAATTAAGCAATTTAAGAAATGTTGAACATTTAACATTGTTCTTTTTAAACTATGATTTTTTAAAAGCAAAATGTATAAGCATTTCTAAACCATTTTTTAAGGTCGCCTTCCAAAGCTTACTCCACCTCCTCCTCGGAACAGCAATAACCTCAAAAACACTACAGCTCATCCCAAGCTAGGTAAAGGTATGCCTACTTTTAATATAAGAGTTTGATATGCCCTGGATTTATGACATGTCCTATAACTATATTTAAAACATAAAATTGGACTTTCCTTAATCAAGTTAATAATGATTAAAAAAGATTTCTTCAAACTTTTTTCAAGGTCGTGCCCCTAAATTTACTCAAGCACTCCAACCTCGAAGTAGGAATGAGCTTCCTCTACAGCCGGCACAGACAACTACCACTCCTGACATAAAAAATACAACTGTAACTCCCAGTGTAACCAAAGGTAGGCAGATCAGGCACGAACACTCTTACCTGATGGGATTCTTGTTCTCTGTTAAGAGTTTCCAGCTCACTTACTTCATCTATATTTTTCCAGCTCATCCAAAATAAATAAACATATAAAGCTTGTGTCCTTAGGGAACAGCCTGGCGGAAGCTCAGTCTGTCCTCTGATACAGGAAAGCCTGATGCTGAACAACTGCTGCGCTGGGTTGTCCTCTCCGCTCATGATCCCCGTCAGCTAAGCACACGAGCTCAGAAACACATCACTTCTAGAGAGGATTCAGCCCCAGTAGCAAGCAAGCTGTTTTACCCACATTATATATTAATTTACTAAAGGGGAGAGTTGGTAGAGGAGAGGGAAAAACACTTTTTAAAAATATACTTCAATTAACGTTCTTGCTTTTAAATACCCTGTTTCCTGTACATCTGTAATTTTCTGATTATTCATTCAGACATTAGCGTGACTTCTGCATTACAGTGATGAGTACACCGTTACATTGTACAAGTCATTGTTCTTCTTGCTTGTTGAAAAGAAAACTTTCAGTTAAATTCAGAAAATAAAATGCCAGTGTCACAGGAGAATTAACAATAAGTGCTAACATGAGAAAAGAATGCTCATTTTCACAAAGTATAGAAAAGAACGTGTTACTAGGGAAACCCTAGTCCCCATCTTAGTGAAAGAGAGAAGCTCTCTAGTATGGTTTATTACAGGATGCAAAGGAGACAGCAGGGCAGGCAAGCTGTAAGCGGTCACAGCTGCAGTCAGGGTGGAGAACAGGAGAGGAGAAAAGTTGGCAAGCAGGTTGAGCTGCTGTGTGGGAGAGAAGGGTCAAAAAGTAAGAACCATCCCCCTGGGAGGGGGGGGCAGGTGCATATAGGATACCCTAAAAGAGAGGAAGAAGGACAAGGAAAGCATGCTTTACTGTTACTGGCAGGCTGCTGCAGTGCAGGGTTCAGAGGACCCTGGACTGACACTAGGCTCTTATGTCCCTGCACAAAAGAGTTATACCAGGCACACATGGTTAGAAGTATAGTAGTTTATGAAGAAAAAAACACTTCAGGAGTAGAAGTGGAGTTATTGAGCTGAAGGAGAACTTCAAAGCTCTTGGGCCACATGGTCCTTTTATAGGACTTTTAACTGGACACACACACTCTCATTTGTATCTCACAAGCTTTGCTCACAGGTTCTCTACTTGTACATGCAATCCCGTGGGAAAAGCGTCTGGTCTTCACGTGGTCTGGCTTCTTTCATCTTAAATCTTTCCATCCCCAGTCACTACTCTCCTGCCACTAGAGGGTGCTTCATCCACAGTAGCTCCCCCTCGTCTATAATTTAATTACTTTCACTTTCCAAAAGTTTGTATAAATTCAGATAGTTTCCTCCAGCTTCTCATGCATGAGCTTCTTTCCTGTTCTTCTCTTCCTCGTGGTATAGGAGGGGCTAGAGAGAAACAAGAGAACTCAAAGCAAATACACCCCGGCTTTAGGGTAGGAGACCTACAGGGTTGGTTGGTTGGTTGGTTGGTTGGTTGGTTGGTTGGTTGGTTGGTTGGTTGGTTTTTTCCAAGTCTAAGCTGAATTGTTTGTGTTCACTCATGGAGACCAGAGGGCAGACAGCCTCAGATGTGTTCCTCAGGCAATATCTATCTTTTCTGTAAGATAAGGATCTCTTTCTAGCCTGGAACTTGCCAACCAAGCTATGTTAGCTGGGCATTGAGCCTCTAGATCTGCCTGTCTCTGTCTCCACCATACTGGGATAACAAGAACATGCCAACACTCTTGATGTACGTGCATGTGTGTGTGTGTGTATGTGCGCGCGCGCGCGTGTGTGTTTAACATGGATTCTGGAGACTGAATTCAAGACCTCATGTTTAAAAGGCAGCTATGTTACTAGCTCCTGAGTCTAGGCAGTTGTCTTAAATCCCAAATATCTGAGAGTTAATCAAACTAGCCATGTATACCTGTACTGTTTCTTCCCACTATAAAAAAAAAAAAAGAAAGGAAGGAAGGAAGGAAGGAAGAAAATGTATATTTGTTTCTGATTCTCAGTGCTTTTTGGCCTTAGTCATGATTTTATTTCTCCCTTCCTCCTCTTCTTCCTCCTCCTCTTCCTTATCTTTCTCTTCTTCTCCCTCCTTTTCCTCCTCCTCCTCTATTTAATTTCATGGAGAAAATCCTGTCGTGGTCAGATGTGTGAAGGCACTCTGGCAGATGCCCCAGTGTGCTCTTCTGTTCTCTACTAAGGCTATTGTAAACACTCCCCACATTCTCAGACACTTGACCAAACGGCTTTCAAATTGGAAACTATAAAGAGGAGAATCCCTTTGGGGAGCCTACAGACTTCTCTTTCCTCTGTCCCAGGCATTGGTACAGGAACTCCCACAGTGAATCCCTTCCTCTGTGCCTGGCACCTGTGCATTTACCTGATACAGTATCTACCTGATGTTATTGTCTACCTTCTCCCTGTGTCTCTTCTGTCATATACTGCTTCCTCTCTTGGATACAGTTGCAGTAAAGGAGATGCTATGGGTTAGACAGCACAGCCCCTGGCTGTGAGCCCTCAATGGCTACCAGCATTTGCTGCTCTTGTTTGCTCTCTGGCAGAAGAGGACTGTGGGATAAAGGAAGGAATTACTATTCCAAGTAACTTGGAGGAGACCATTTTCAGTGAGATGAGATGAGGATAGACCAACAGAACTCAAGCATCGTGTGTGTTCTGTTTATGCCCAGATAGCTTTCTGGGCTCAGCTGCACTGTGACCTGGCCGTATCTGTAACTATTTTGTCATGTGGTGGTGACATCCTTCTCAGTTGGTAGCTTCTCTCATCTGTAGCGAACACAGCACAGCTCACTTTCCCCTCCTCACTGATCCTCAGCATTCCTTCGGTTTTCACTCTTCTGCAGAAAGAGGAGTGAGCATCTTTAAAGATGTATCTTTGAATATCTTCATGTCTTCCCCAAATAAATTCTTGATGTAGACTTGTAGCCTTCAGTAGATTCTTATACATACTGCCTCAAAATACCCATCAGAAATATATTTTTATATTTATTTATATTCCATCAACAAACCTGTTTCTTCCTCTACTCTTGACTCTCCTTTCAAATGGCTGTCAGTGTTGTAAGTAATCATAGCATCTTGTTTTTGTTTTAATTAACAGTTCTTTGCAGCTGAGGTTTACTTGTATTCTCTTGATGGGTTTGTAAGTAACAGTGGACTTATTATATATTTTTTGGCCTGTGATATCTTACAACATACACTTTACTACATATACATAAGATGCTTTCTAGTTTACCATTCGTCTTTTGGCTTTCAGTGACTTCTGGGAATTTAAAACATACTGCTTGTGCCAGGCAGTATTGGCACATGCCTTTAATCCCAGCACTAGGAGACAGGTGGGCGGGTCTCTTGTGAGTTCAAGGCCAGCCTGGGCTACAAACCAAGCTACACAAAAAAAAAAAAAAAACAACACCCTGTCTTGAAAAACCAAAATTGAACAAAACCAAACCTAAACTTCTGTTAAACATGTACAGAGGCAGAGATTGAGTGAGCGAGTGGCATGCTGAGTGAACTGTCCACTAGTCTGTAAACACAGTTAGGTCTCCCAGCTGTGGCCAGCTTTGTTTCATAAATGATGTGTAAGATATTCTTTGAGATACAAAGTGTTGAGCTATGCTAACCTGTTTTGACTTCTCTGTCATGATGTCTGCTTCACTGTTAATGCGGTTGTTCTGTTCTGTGACTTCAGATGTCGCACTGGCTGCTGTTCTGGTTCCTGTGCTGGTCATGGCCCTCACCACACTCATCCTCATTTTAGTATGTGCTTGGCATTGGAGAAACAGGTCAGTACCCAGGTTGCTTACATGATTGATTCAGGGAGCGATACGGACATAGGAAGCAGAACCAAACCATGTAAAATAATGGAAGAACGGCACATGTCACTTGTTAGCACAGTCACTAGAATAAAATCAGGTTTCTCCTGCTCCAGGTACTGGGAGCATACCAATCTAACTATGGAGGTGCTGTCTGAGCTTAGATCAGAAATGGCTTTGTGGGAAAAAGAAATGTAGGTTTTATTCTATAGATTAGAAGATTATTGGGTGCTAAGCAGACTGGTCATATTATAAGATGACTGTGGAGAGGCACAGGATTTGTGAAGTATGGGTCTGGTGACTAAGAGAGAGGGGGAAAAAGGCATCCGGATAAATTTGGAAACAGTTTTCTCAAACAGAAATACAGCAGCATGAGTCTACAGAAGGGATGCATTGTACACGATGTCAGAAGGACGCATGACAATGTGAAGGAAGCAGCAGCAGCATCCTGGAGTGATGTGAGGCTTCTGTCTCTCATAGTCTGACTCGTAGCAATGCTGTGAGTTGAGAGAACATCAGGAGGGACAGGTTTGATAGAGAAAGAAGATGATTTGTTCACTGTTCAATGAATATCATACCTAAATACTTGGCTGATCCTTTATGCCAGCTGTTGACCCACGTGCAAGACTCTAGCAACTAGAGGATCTGCACATCCTAGCGGGCAAGCAGCTTCAGCGCTTTGTGAAAGACACACTTGTGATAGTATAAATGGACCATAAGCTATGTGTATCCCCATTTAAGGCAAAATCTTTCTTGGTAGCGTGTAAACACTACCTTTAGTTAGGTTAGATTTGCCTGATTCTGTCAGTGGCTTTTTGTTTGTTAAGTTTTCTGTGTAAAAGGTTGTGTGTAAATAGTAATTCTTGTTTGTTTTTATAACATATATTTTTTCTTTTTGTTTATTTATTGATTTTTTTGAGTGCTCTGCTGCATGTACACCTGCATGCCAGAAGAGGGCATCAGATCCCTTTATAGATGGTCGTGAACCACCATGTAACTACTGGGAATTGAACTCAGACCATCTGGAAGAGCTTCTAGTACTCTTAACTGCTGAGCCATCTCTCCAGCCCTATAATATATATTTTTTATTAATTAAGGATTGCAGTAATTACACCTTGATCATATTTAACCCAAACTCCTCCAGGATCCACACACAGCCCCCCCACCCCTACCCCATTTCATATCCATCCAACATTGTGTCGTCACCTATCCAACTTACTCAGAGTTTATATACTCTTGGGTGTGTGGCCATCCACTAGTTTGGTCTACCTGCCAGGAGCCAGAAGAGAACTAATTAATTCTCTCCCTTCTGCTCCCTATGAGTTATCAGCTACTGCACAGATGGGGAGAACTTCATGAACAGCTCCCCTCTGTGCTGGGATTCCTGTCTTCATCTCTACGTTTATATGCTGTGTATATAGGTACACAAATACCGTGTCGCATGTGTGCGGACTAGAGGACAGCTTTCAGGAGTCTGATTCTCTCCTTCCACCCTATGAGTTTTCGGGATCAAACCCAAGTCCTCAGGCTTAATGGCAAGCCCCTTTACCCTTGGAACCTTCTCACCAGCCTAAGTGAGACTGGCACGTGTCTCGGGAAGTGTCCTTTCACTGTTGGCTTCCTTTAGTAAAAGAACCTGGGTAGATAGTAATTCTTAACAGAGGAGTTTCTCCTAGGAGGACAAATCCGAGCTCTGAGGTGGAGGGAGTAGGGGGAGGGTTCTTGTTCATTGCACTTGTGCCTCCTCTCCCCCACAGATGGATGGACGTCTTTCCAGGCCTGGGGGAGCATCCTCCTCCCCCACCACTTGTCACTGATAGTTGTGACATTGTTGCTTGCTGGGGTGAAGTGAGGACATGGATATATTGATGAATACGAGAAGCTCAAGGCTTTTCTGTTCTAAAGTACCACATGCTCCTGACTACTTACTCACTGGCATTTATGCTGCCCTTGGGAAGATTTGTACTGTAGGATTCACTGTTTTCTAACTTTTATTTTCAGAAAGAAAAAAACTGAAGGCACCTATGATTTACCCCACTGGGATCGGGCAGGTAACTCGTGGATTTCGCTTCTCTTTTCAGTCAGAAAGAAATCTCCCCTCTCCTGGGTATAATGATGGATGAAATATGTTCTCAGGTCCCCAGGGACTCCTCAGGTGAAATTTAATATGTTGTCCTGGTGCTGGAGAGATGGCTCAGCAGTTAAGAGTACTGGCTGCTCTTCCAGAGGACCTGAGTTCAATTCCCAGCACCCACATGGCAGTTCACAACTCACTGTAACTTCAGTTCCAGGGTATCTGACACTCCTTCACAGACATGCATACAAAACACCATTGCACATAAAACACAAATGAATAAATCATGTTACAAAGAGAAATTAATATTCTCCACCATCTGTTTCATAAGTCATTAAAGGAAAAATACCAATGCACATTGTTATCTTTTCCTCTGGAAAGTTGCTTTTTTTCTGTATTTGTCATGAGACCAGCCTGCCATGTGTTCTGTGTAAGCACCACATAAGAAGGACCAGGGTCCCAGGAACTGTATGTGTATATGACTACCATAGTGATCGAAGTTGGAAGTCTAGCACTTTCAGAACCTATGAGGTCCTTGGTCATTTGAATGGCTGAAAGTCCCCTTCCCAGTCTGCCATCTAGAGGAAAGCATGGTGCCATGAGCAGAGTATAGTAGAGTACAGCCTAGGGAGGCCTTAAAAAATGTTGGCAGTTTTGAGGAAACCTTTTTAAAGCCTCTCTGATGACACTGACATGTATTAGTAGAGACTTGTACGGAGGGCTGCTTGGCACTGAACGTTCTATCAGAGCATAGTCACGGAGGCTGATTTCTGTAGCTTTGGTCTCTGTCTGTAAGTAATGCGCGTTCCCTGGCTTACAATTGCAATGAAGGTTGGTGGAAAGGAGTGAAGCAGCTTCTCCCTGCCAAGTCGGTGGAGCATGAGGAGACGCCGGTGCGCTACAGCAATAGTGAAGTTAGTCACCTGAGTCCAAGGGAAGTCACCACAGTGCTGCAAGCTGATTCTGCAGGTAAGATTGCATAGACCTGAGTGCCAGGCTGGAGGAGAAACTTGTGCTTTTCCGAGGACTTCAGGAGTTACAGAATATTTGATCTTTCTTATGTTAGGATAATCTATATTCTGGGACTAGAGAAATGGCCCAGCACTTAAGAGCACTTGTGCTCTTAAGAGGACCGAAGTTCCATTCCCAACACCCATATGGCAGCTGTAATTCTGAGTGACCAGATGCCCTCTTTTGACCTCTGCAGGCACCAAGCCCACACTCGGTACACAGACGTGTATGTAGGCAAACATTCATACACATACAATTTTTTTAAATATATAAACTATGTTCTGAAGGTTAACTTTTTCAAAAGCTGACCTTGAAAGAACAGATCATTTCTGTGTAGACATACTTCTCATAAAACTGTAGCATTCCTTTTCTACAGACACTGGGCATTTTATCTGTCAGCCTGGGGGTTGGCTTGCCTGCCCAATAAATAGGTTTCCAGGACCCAGTAAGACACACTGTCTCAGAAACAAGGTGAACAGCTCTTGAGAAATAATGCGCAGTATGAACTTCTGGCCCCCACATGTACATGAAACCAATACACAAGACAACAGAGATGAGGAAGGGCTGACAGAGCCCGAGCATGGCACCCTGCCACCCTAGTGGATACAGTCTCACCTGTCTTCCTGATAGCTCCGACCAGGAATGAGGTGATATTTCACAAGACTAATACTTAGTCCAAAATACTTCCTTTCATTCAGGTACTGCTTGTAAATCCACAGAACATACATAAATACTGATGCAAAAATACATATGAAAGACTTTTTCAGCATCTCTGGTTACTACTGTGAGAGCCTAGATAACATATTTCTCAGCTGGTCCTTGTGGGTGGGAATCCTGTAGCTTTACATTGATAAAGCCATCAGTGCCATGATGAAATGTTTGATGTTGGTACAACCTGTAGCTGCCACCTAAAAGTATGTAATGTCTGTTTTCACAAGTGTCCCATTGTGTCTTGTGGTATCCACAGAATATGCACAGCCCCTCGTGGGAGGAATTGTTGGCACACTCCATCAGAGATCTACCTTTAAACCTGAAGAAGGAAAAGAAGCAGGCTACGCAGACCTAGATCCTTACAACTCTCCAGTGCAGGAAGTGTACCATGCCTATGCTGAACCGCTGCCCATAACGGGGCCTGAGTACGCAACCCCAATCGTCATGGACATGTCAGGGCACCCCACAGCCTCAATTGGTCTGCCCTCCACATCCACTTTCAGAACTGCAGGGAACCAACCTCCCACTCTAGTGGGAACTTACAACACTCTTCTCTCTAGGACTGACAGCTGTTCCTCGGGCCAGGCTCAGTACGACACCCCAAAAGGTGGGAAGCCAGCAGCTACCCAAGAGGAACTGGTGTACCAGGTGCCACAGAGCACGCAAGAAGTATCAGGAGCAGGAAGGGATGAGAAATTTGATGCTTTTAAAGAAATTCTTTGACAGTGGTGCTGCTTTTTACAAAGCATCCATTTAAAGCACATGGCTTTTTGATTCTTAGTGGTAGTAATAGTAGAATGTATTACGTATCTGTCACTGAAGCGGTTAGGGGAATGTGGTGACCGAGGTACAAGAAACTATTTGCCTTGCCATCTTGCTTTAAAGGTGTTACTGTGTGGCACAGTTACTGCTTGCCTGTTACATTTCAAACATCCTGTTTGTTACTACTGTAAAACACTATTTTTAATACAGAAAAAGCTCCCTATAATGCACTTCAAAGAAACTGAAAGTCACTGACTATTTATTACCAATGCTGCAGGTACATTAATGAACTTGTGATGGTTCTGTAAGCCTTGCTGGCAATGATGCATGGTACTGTTCTTGAAATATCGAATGGCTTGAAATTCTCCCTTTGTGAAGGTGGGTACTATCGTGCTTTCCTTCTCCTTTACTCCTGTATTACTGTCTGCATTCTTTCTTTGCCCTCACCAGCGTCAGTGCCCCATGAGCACTGTTCTAGCTGTGGCCACGTACACTTGTCAGTATCTCCCTAGGAAGGTACGTAGTTAGACCATCCTGCCTTGCAGTGAGCTGGGTGACTGACTTCTTGTGTGCTGACACACCTAACAGTATTTACACCTCCTGGTACAGGACTTGGTCTGACGTCTGCTCACCCCACCCAGGATCCTTTGTGGTCTCGCTCCAGCCTGTGTTCATAAATGCTGGTGGCCTCCTTTTCAGGAAGCCAGCCCTCTTCTCCACATGGAAATGGGAGAGAAGCAACTTACAATTTAGAAAAGCTATAAAGGGAATCTTCTGCATCACTGAAGTAATATGTAAATCACTTTAGGGAAGAAATCAAGGGGAGAGTAAAATTTAATCTTCCTTGCTTTATTTACAGACAAGCCCAAAAATTTGCAAATTTCCTGTGCATACCAAGGTAATTTACAGTTTTACGCAAATATTTTTTTAATTTCAATTCTCTTCAAGTAAACCATTGTAAGAAAAAGAAAACAAACATGAGCCAGGTCTGATGGTTCAAGCCTGCAATCCCAAGTAGCTAGGAGGCTGATACAAGAGGACCCCAAGGTCAATGCTGTATAGTCTACAGAGTGAGTTCAGGATTAGCCTAGGCCACTCGTAAAATAAGGGGTGGGGCTCTGTCTCAGTGGCTTAGTGCTCGAGTACAGCATGTGAGGCCATCGGTTCAATCCCCTCTACTACAGAAAGAAAAAAAAAAGACAAGATGCGTTCTCCAGGTCTGCCTTCTGTCTGGGAAGAGGCTTAAGTGGTCCTTTGTGTCAGACCAGGTTGACAGAGATGCTATAGCATTGGAATTCCAGGCAAGGTACTTGGCAGTGACTGAGCACGACCTGTGCTGCACTCATGTCAGGTAGGGTAAATTAGACATTGTAGTGGATTAGCCTGTAGGCTGGGAATGTGACTGAAGCAGCGCATCAGATGAAAATATAAACTATCCCTCACCACAAACCTCTTTGTAGATTTAGAGTACACTCGGCCATCAGGACCTAGACGGCTTCTCAGCTTGTACCATCCAGGTTGTAGAATTGCCAAACTTCGCCATATTTGGATAGTGGTAAACAGTATTGACTTTGCTTCCTTCCGCAAGTACATCAGTGTTTTTAAAACGTTGCTCAGAACTGTTTGTGCAGGCTCCCTGCCACCTCCTCAGATGACTTCTGTTGCTTTTATTGTAATTTGCCTTTTGTCTTACAGAGTTTGAGACACAATCTCACTCCTTGTTGAAAAATCAGTGCACATTTTGTTTCAACGGAATGAGGCAACACCACAGATGCTGAACTTACACTAAAACATTTAAGAATGTGTAGAGCACATGATGCAGTTGTCCCCTTTCAGGGGGGAACAGAGCAAACCATTTGCTATTTCATTTTTATTCATGCTTAGTGGGCAGAGCGTAGACTTTTCTTTGAGTCTTATACCTGTTGGAAGCTTTAAGAGACGTTCTGAAGATGAAGTTGTTTTCCCAAAGAAGCCTGCTATTTTGTATAACTGTGTGTCCCAGAACTGTTAAGAACAAATCGAGGCCATGTTTGTTGATACGATGTGCATTTCGAGACTTGGGTCCTATGGCCACTGTTCTTGAATTCTACCAATGGTCTTCATAAAATACCTAGTTGTTATGTTTTTCTTTTGCAGATAAAGAGCTGAGCCTGATTCAAATGATTTTCCTTCTGGTTTTGTACTTTTCCTCTTAGTTTTTGTATTATAGACTATCTTAAGTTCCTAGTCACTCACATGTGTGGTACGTCTTGAGAAGACAATCAAGTAAAATGTGAAAGTAACCATTGTTGACCAAACCCCTTGGTTATTTTGTTTTGCTTTAATTCTTTTCTTGAGATATTCAATACTTAAGTCACTGTGGCTTATTGGGTTTCTCTTTCCCTGATAATATGGTTGATTATAGAAACATAAGAGACAGCAGTGTGGCAAGTGCAGCCTTGGGAGGTTTCAGAGAATGACACTAACTTGGCTGTCACTTGATCCTTGTGACCAGCACAGATAAGTGTGAATTCTGGTTCGCATTTTATGAAATGCTGTTTGTAGATCGCAGTAGTCCCTGTTGAGAGAAACAGGGCTAGTCCACTTATTTAATTAATGTTTCACTGTTTGCACTTTCCATTGAACAATGGCTTGATTTGCTGTTCACACAGAGAATTTATACAGTCGTGACAGTTATCGTGTGTTGTGTGTGTGCATCTCCTCTCCCTGCCCCAGGGGTGGAGCATTAAAAGAAGTTGTAGCCAGAAAGCTGTGGCAGGGAATTGAGTCAGAGCTTCCATGCCTGGGCTCCATATTGTCACCTGGAGAGCAGCAGAGTGGAAAAACAAGACAGACAAGACCACTAGAAAGAACCCAGAGATTCTGGGGGCACTGGGAGGTTCCAAATCCTCCATGGAGCACTGACAGGGCTCTGTGTAAAAAGTTGTTAATTCTGCCTTTTGGGTTGAACTTGAAAGTCCTCGAACTGCAAAAATCTAGGGAGTTGGATGGTTATAGGGTATTTAGGTTAACTGTGGCACCAATCTCAATTAGACCAATTTATGTGTAGTTTCTCTCATTTTCCATTTTTGGCACTGGGAATGGTGAAAATAAAATATGTTGAAATAAATACAGAAGTGGAAATGGCTCAAGTGTCAGTGATATTCTCCCAGAATGTATTTTTCTTACCTCGGCATGTACTGTAGTCACTTGATATTTGTATATGTTGCTAGAATTTAGGCTGTTGAAAATAGTGAGATTCTAATGTGTTTTTTAATAAATTATATATGTGTGTCTTGCTCAGATTATTTGGATTAAATAAAACAGCCTTGACGTCATATTCCAGAAAATGCCAAATTTCTCAGTGTTGACAACAGTCACATTTTATGACCAGTATTAGAGTGGGTATAGCATCATTTCAAAATACTCCCACTGGGCTTTCCTCCCTTGGCCCCTCTCCACGATCCTCAAGCCTGCTATATTATGGAAGTGAATCTGGGCAGCCCAGCTCTGTGTGCCTGTGTGGTAAAGGGGAAACACTCATCAGCATGTAGAGTCACCTAGTACCAGCATGCCCTCAGTTAGGTAGCTGGACAGTGTCAGCATGAGCTACCCCTCACTATCAGATCCCTGTTTACAAGCTGTTTTTCAGTATTTCATTTATTCTTTTCCTGACATTTCACTCTATTCTCTTTAGGGAGAAGGTAACTTGATTGCCAGTAACACCAGCATTTCCAGTAACACTTCCTGTTCACTCTTCTCCCTTTGGTTGTGTAGATGAGTTTGTTTCCTCAGACTTTTCTCTCATGTACCTGAAATGACCTACCAGATGCTTCACTGATGGTGAAATTCAGTCATGTGAAATATGACATTTTTCCAATACAAATAACAACAAAAAATCAGCTCAAATCTTAAGGTTTTACTTGTTTTACTCTTCAAATTTTTTTCATATAAACATTTAAGTTTTTTTTTTTTTTGAACAGTTACACTGACACCCTTCATCCCACAGGTAAGCTCACCTCTGAGTTCAAGTTCAGCCTGGACTACATTGTGGTTTCTAGGCCATCCAGAGCTACATAGACCCTACCTAAAAAAACTTTTTAATTTAAAAAAATGATGCTGGAGGGTGCAATGGCACATAGCTATAATCCCAGAACTTGAGAAGCTGAAGCAAGAGAACAAAGTTCGAGGCCAGCCCGGGCTACATGGTAAGAACCTGCACCCCCAAATCAAAGTCTCAGGATGCTCGTTAGGTGAGTGTGCTTTTCAAGCATGGACAAGGCTATCTTTATGAAGAGCAAATTATTAAATTATTATTGGTTTAATTAATTGTAGAGGGAACTTAATTAAACTACCATGGACTTCCACAACCAGGCAATTCTGGTGTTCTGCACCTGGCTCCCAGTCACATGCTCAGGATAAACCTATCTTAATAAGCAAATGATATGTGAGTGTCAAAAAATGAGTGAAGTCAACTAAATTGCCTATAACTCTTTAAGATGAAAGAACTATGAAAAGGTATTTTAAAATGCCTCAGAACACTAAAAAGATCATGTTTAAAAACAACATAATCAAGAGTTACACATTTCCCTGATAACTAAAAATCTTGTTTTTCATAAATACATTCACAGAAATTTAGCTGGTGGTTACAAATCACCAGGCAGCAACAGACTTAATATACATAATTTGATAAGTTCATCCAATATATTTAAAAATAAACTAAAATTTGCGGTACAAAAATAAAACTAACACTGTTTAGCGTCATCTTTCGGATCTGTACGGTCAATTTTGAGTCAAGTTGATCACCATTTTTTTCTTTATAATGTCATCTAAAAAGAGCTGTTCTGCAGTCAGATTGTGATACGCATTCTGAAAAAGAAAATGAAATAAGCTGGTCATCAATCCTGCTCTCCGGACATTATCAAAGTGAGATACTCTAATACTCTGCATGGTAAATGTTCCCATAATAAGCTCAGATATTAGTAACAAGTTACATGGACCTTTGTTCCCTGCTTGCTCTTTTTTGCTTGAGAGTGACCCCAAATCTCACTTTACACCTGAGTTGTACAGAAACCAAAGTCAGAACGTGCAATGTAAGGGTAGCAGCTGGAACCCATTTTTAAAGGTTGGTCTGGAGATAAGACACCATAAAATCTAATGTTTGTAGTGTTGGTGAGTTTCTAACAGGATTTCTTTTAGCCCAGGTCTGCTCACACTTCTAGGTTGTGGAGGATAACAAACTCCTGATCTTCCTGCCTCCACTTTTAAAACAATTCTGAGCCTGACATGGTTTTCCAATGGTTATCATTCTGGCTGTGTGACAAAGTGATTCAAGAGGATCGTAAGTTGAGGCCAGCCTGGATTACGAGGGAAGATCCTACAAGATAGTTTTCAAAAGATCTTAAGATATTAGCTCAATGGTTGACTATTTGCTTAGCCATCATGAGTGTGTGAGTTCAGTTCTTAATCCTGCAAATACAGTAGTAAATTCTGCTGCTAGGTGTGTAGCTTAGTGGCTGGCTACTTGCCTAGTATAGTATACCACCATAAGTCCAATCAACAGAAAAAAAAAATCTGTCCTATTGAAATCCCCAGAAGTTGCTTCCGTGTTCTGCTCTTGTCTCAATATTCTGTAAGTGCTATAGGAAACAAGGAATGAGGAAAAAAGCTTGAATTATTCTAAGCTTAAAAAGTTGGTCTCATGCTAGAGGAACAAAAGACGGCAGTAAAGTTCACCATGATTATCACTTCCCCAGCTCTGAGATATTCTGGGACTATTCAACAGGACATGAACCATTGCCTGATAGCAAATTGCTCATACTTCATGGTTTTTAAACAACAATTTTGTGTCACTTAGGATGTACAATTAATCTAAGAAATTCAAAAATAGGAAATTCCTTCTCATTCAAAGCTTGACCCTCAGGATCAAGTCCACCAGTATCAATATCTGACCAAGAGGATCATGACCTGGTAAAGAGGTCTGCCATTGTCTATGTGAAGTCTTTTATAGGGTTACATGTTTCTAGAACACCTTTGTCTACTTAACTAAAGTGTGCGCATAATTACTAGGACCATAGTGAGTTCATGTGTCTCAGACATACCAGTTGATTATATTTAAATATTGCTTTGCTTTTTTTTAAAGAAATCTAAAATAAGACTCAGTCCCTATTGAAGTTTGATGAAACAGCAGATGCCATGAGGCTATCCAAAGAATCTGAGACAATTTAGAAACTGCTGCTACAGAAAAGTGACCCCGAGACAGGAATCCTAATGTCAGCCTTTGGGAGCTCAGGAGTATGGAAAAGGAACCACAATCAACTGGAGACAAAACTCAGCTGGTAAAGTACTTGCAAGGACCTGAGTTCTACTTCCAACATAGGTATAAAACGCTAGATGTGGGGCCTTTGATCACACTGGTGATCCCAGCACTGGATAGGTGGCAACAAACTAATCTCTGATTGGCTTGCCAGACAGCCTACACTGCTTAATAAATTCTGTACCAGTATGAGACTAAAAGAAACTGAGCAGTAACACTTGACATTGACCTCTGACCTCCCATACATGCATGCACCTACAAACATGAACGCCATACATTTTTAAAGGGTTTTTTTTAAGCAGTAGAAAGGGAAAATTACCTTCTTCATCAAAGACATGGTGGCATTCCCATAGTAGTGTAAAGGACTGTCTGGTCCGTAAAAGTTGTACTTAAAACCAGCGAGGTGAACTTCACTGCATATGTGAAATGCCATTGTGATGGCAATGATTCCAGTTGTAGGGTGTTTGGGTTTCTAAGAAGAAATCAGAAACTTCAAAATACAAATAGGCTACATTCTTTCCAAACATAGTTGGCTGCCCTGGTCTGATGAAAATGGATTTCTAAACATTAAGAGACATTTTTAGCTAGCATTATATGGTAGGACTCAAGCCCCAAAGAGAACACATTCTTCTAAAGAGGACATACATTATGACTGATATCTTGGAAAGTCTTTAAAATATAATAGAGCTGCAGTTCTAGCTCAGAGGGCAGTTGTGAAAGAAGAGTATCTTGCTGTGTTTGAACAAAAATGAAACATCTTGAGTCTAACTGTCTAGATGGAATATCTATATAGCTAGCTATGGAAAAGATAAAGCCTCTGGAGAACCGAGAATATCAACAAAAGGTCAGGAGAGTCTGCTCACGAATTTGTGCCCTTGTGACCAACACTATATTTTTCTCCCTTTTCCAGCCTTTGAGATTGGAGCATTCTAACACTCCCACCATGGTGTGTCACCCCCAGGAACTTCGAGAACTAAGCTAAAAGAGTCACTTATTGTGTTGGAAGGCAGAGCCAGGCAGATCTGAGTTTGAGGCCAGCCTGGTCTACAAAGTGAGTTCCAGGACAGGGAGGGCTTCACAGAGAAACCCTGTTCTGGAAAAACGGGGGTGAGTGGGGGATTGGGGAGGGGACTGCTTCCTGATAAGTGTATGCCTCTGGTATTTCATGTTGACTGACAAAGTGCTTGAGACAATTCTTTTCACACTTAAAAACTACATCCTTGAATGATGGAGAGATGGCTCAGAGGTTAAGAGCACTGACTGCTCTTCCAGAGGTCATGAGTTCCATTCCCAGCAACCACATGGTGGCTCACAACCATTTGTAATGGGATCCGATGCTCTCTTCTGGTATGTCTGAAGACAGCTACAGTGTATTCATATAAATAAAAAATAAATATTAAAAAAAAATAAGCTACATCCTTGTCCTGAAACTGTTCTGTGCACAAGGCTGCTAACCAGCTCACTAGTCATGCAGGTCTTGATGAACAACAGTGAAGATGAGTTTACAAGAAATGAACTATTGACCATTCAAGGAAAAAAAAAAAAAGAGTCTGAAGGCTGAATGTACAAAAGAACCCCAAAACACACACTTCTCCCTTAAAGACCCTTTTTTTGCAAAACATGAGGTCATATCCATTTGGTGTCCAAGTTCATAAACTCATCTGTAGTCCTAAGAAAATAGCACTTGAGCCATGGTGCTTAGCAATTTCTGAAAGCTCTCATGTCCCTCTATGCCCTTAGCTGGATGTTTAGTTTGAAACTATGTGATGTTATATACGTACCTGATCTTTGGGAAATACTCTAGGAAAACGAAGCAGTTGAAAAGCTGCTTCTCTGATGATAAATGGATCTAATATTCTGATTTGGGATTGTTTATAGATCAATTTTAAAGCTGGTTTCTTCCAAAACCCCTCAGTATTCTGAAATAAAGGACACAGAAAATGGGATGTTGTGAATGTATTTTACTTTAGAGAGAAAAAAAATACAGAACATAATCTGAACCTAAATAGTTTGGCCAACTTACTATTTTTCTACCTATCAGTATCTCCATCAGCCACCTTAAGTCCTGAGGCTTAAAGACAATGAGAACCGCTGTAGTATTGGGATCATAGTGACTGGGATCTGAAAAGACAGACTCTGGATAAAAAAGCCTGAAGGTTGTCTTTTTCCCAACTTCCTCTTCATGGCCTAAAACAGGACCATTATTCATTCTGTGGGTAGCAAGACAACAACATACAGGATGAGTGGAATGCTAGCCATTTCATCAAGTTCCAAGGCTTTAGAATTGGACAGATGTCAGACATTCCTGCACTCTGGAACCCCAAGACAATTAATATTCTACAGTAATGATAAGGGAAACCATTCCTTCTCACAAGACAGTCATCTATATTCAAATACTAATTATGACATCAGTCATTCAGTCTGAGCTACACACGACTAAAGAAACGAGAATACAGAACCACAGAATTACTCCAGTTAAAAGGAGACCATAGTGGATAGCCACGTTGGATTTAAAACTAATGACCCTGGATTCTTGAGAAAGTTATATGTCTACAGGATATACAGCCCTAAAGTATGTGGATGTGTACCCACATGACTGATAAGCATGAAGAATTGCATTTGAGTTATTGTGAAGACCCACTGAAATTGTGTTCTGGGCTGGAAAGATGGCTCAGTGGTTAAGAGCATTTGGTGTTCTTCCAGAGAACTGAAGCTCAGTTCCCAGCACCCACATACTAGCTCACAATTATCCCTAACTCCAGTTTTAAGGGATCCAGTACTTTCTTCTGGTCTTCACAGGCACCAGGCACACACACACACACAATGTACTTACATGCAGGCAAACACTCATAAAGTAAAAGTAAATCCTTATTTAAGTATTCTGAAACTAACCCTATAAAAATTCTATATCACACTTAGCACAATTAGAGGAATGCCTTTTGCGACTGAACTACAAACACTACAAAAGAGCTACTGCTGGATTAGCTACATTCAAGGCCAAAGTTAGACACTCACTGAGCATACACTATAAAGGCATTCTATTAAAAAAGAATGTTTTGCTTCTAAAACAATGTAGTTAGATACTCACCGAGCATACACTATAAAGGCATTCTATTAAAAAAGAATGTTTTGCTTCTAAAGCAATGTCCCTGGGAGGATAAATATTTTACCCTTTTGCCACCAACTCTGTCTAATACTAGAGTCTTGCAGTAGCTTTCAGAATATACCCATGGTATTTCCCTACAAAGACTGGCTGAGTTTCTAAAAATTATCTAAGTTAAACATCTGTAAGTGGGAAAATGGATGAATCTAATTGTTTTATAAATTACAACAACTTCTTCAAAATGGGTAATAAAGAGAAAGATGTCTTGCTTGTAACTCAGAAAACCTCCAGATGCACTGCAAGACCTTCCCAGTGTGTGACCACAATGGCTACTTAAAGCTACTACTAACATACATGGGGGTGGGGAGAGATGGAGAGAGAGGGATGGAAGAAGGGACGGTAGGAGAGAGGGAGAGAAAGCACTACTTAGATAAGAACCTAACTTCCCTTCCTTTCAGGCAATAGAAATAGGAAAGGTATTTCCCCTACACTGTGTATCAGATACTGTTGGTATCCGTAGCCACAGTCACAGTTTCCTCCTCATTACAGAAAATGAATAACCCTTGAGCTCTTGACCCTATGACCTCTTCTTCACTATATCAGGCTCTCTAGTCATTTCAACTACTTTAACCATATGCCTTCTTAGAGTCTGTAACCACCTCCAAGGCTCAGCTCCCTTTTGAACTGCTCGGAACAGTCCTCAGTGGTTGACTATGCTGGTCTTTCCCTCTCCTGATCTGTATTCTCTCCTCAGTTCATTCCAGTTGGGCTTCTTGCCATATATCCTGCCTACAGTTTTTGCCGAGGGTGACAGTGACCATCAGTTGGCAATCCAGCTGTCCCTCCCCTGACTTTGCACAACTTTTCATCATCATTGGGGCCCCCCCCTTGACTGTTCTTCTGAAACAGCCCTCTCATGGACACACATCACTTCCTTCATGACTCAACTGGTGGATCACTTTTTTTTTTTCTTGTTCAACCTCTATGTCTTAAGAGCTCCGAACCTCAGTACCAGGCTATCTCGTGCGTCTCTCTGTTTCTCCCTGGGGAATCTCCCCATGCCCTTGGTTGAAATACAGCTCATAGGCCACTCACTACTGAAAAGTTTAACCCCTTTATGTGACTGTCCACTTACCTACCACATACCTCAAAAACATTTTAAAGCTAACAGACTAATGCAGGAATTTTTATGTTCCTCTGAACCCAAGCTGGTCTCTCTCAAACTTGCTAAATGACTCTGCCACTCTCTAGCCAATGGACAGAGCTAAAGACAGGCAGAGGTGCCCTTCCATCCTTTATTTGGAGACATTACCACATCTAATAAAGCAGCAAATGCTGACACCCCTTTGCAACCTAGCTACAGTCTGTCTACTTCCCCAATTCTGCTTAAGCATCTGTTGCTCAAATATACCAATGACTCTTGATGCCTCATCCCTTTCCTGTCTCTCATGTGCCACTGTCTGCTGCAGCCAGAATGCTTTCAAGAAATAACAATATTTCAATAAGATCCTATCTAAAAGGTTTCTGAAGCTCCTAATGGCCTTAAAATTAAAATGTAATCTTCAAACCTTAAAATCCCTACATAGCCTGTTCTTTGCCCACCTCAGTAACTTCTGGTTAGACCACTCTCCTGAGCCTGGGTTTATCTGCTGCTCCTCACAAACTGAGGGTAAAAGCCTCCTGAGGACCTGCAATACACATCCTCTCTGTCTGGACAGCTCCTCCACTGTCTTCACATAGCTAGTCCTATTTATGTCCTTTGGTCTAGCTCAAATTAAATTTCACCTCTAAATGGTAACCTTTTCCCAAGTAGTCTCTTGGCAATTCTCTATCATCTCTTTTATTTGTCCATATTATATTATTATCTTCTTATATATTTGATTACTCTTTTTCCCAGTTCTTTTAGAATGTAAACACCACAGGGTAAAAAGCACACTCTTATCAAGTGCTTGATCTCCCCTGTGCCTAGACTTGTCCCTGGCACATTTAATGGACTTGTTAAATATTTGCTAAATCAGCGATCTGAAACCCAGTTTACTATAGCCAGTAGCCAAGGCAGAAAGGTGTATAATCAGGTGCATAAACAGTCAACTAATCTTTAAACGCAGCTATTCTGGAGTAGGAAACCATATTCTTTTCAAGCAATTCTCAATTAGTGACGAAGAGATACACTTACCTTATTACTACATCATAGGAGTCGATTTTTGCTCCTAATGTCTTATTCTTCAGCACTCCTCCATTACCAACCACCACACACCTTTTACATGGCACTCTGCTGGGCAAACAGACAAGTGAAAGACTGAGTCATCGCATTTACAAAACAGGATGATTCCAAGAACCTGCTCATGCTTTCTGAAACCAAATTAAATTCCACTTGTCATGCAAGTAGAAAAAGAACCAATTGTGCCTGAGGTCCAGAGATTCAAGAAACATAACGCTATTGGAGAAAGTATATAATTATGGTTGACATCAACCCTTAGTGGCTCATGTATATGTCCATTCCCTTCTGTGATCCTTAAAATCACCAGTTCAGAAAGAGAAGCCTGGTTATCTCAGATGCCCTGATAGACAAATGAAGAAATAAATTTGAAGGTTACATATATATATATGGCATCCAAAGTCCAAACTCCAAACAGGTGGAACTACCATTGCGTTCCAAACTTCCAGAGTGTCAAGGTGTTCCATCAGCATGAGCTTGCATGTATAAGCATAGCTCATATCTAGGTTTTAAACCAGTGTTCCCCATTCCTCATCTACCCTTGGTTTTCTCTTGAATCATAGGAGGGTGGAAATGGCCAATTTGGAATGTGGTAAATGGAGGGCAGCTCTCTTTACTCTGCCTGGGCTCACTTCAATTTTTCAAACATAGAAAAATTTTGGTTGTTTCACCCAAACACCATGCTCACTGTGTTTCTGAAAAGGCATTAAAGAGAGCCCAAAGGGAACTTCCTGTTGCAGGCCAGCGTTACCCCCAGGGGTGGAACAACATTGGCTCTTAGCCAATGTGACCTTAGCTCAGGGTTTTCTTGCTCTGACCACCATTCATTAGGCCTAGAAAATAAGGATCCTTCAACAGGTGTAGACAAGGAGTCTTTCGGGTGTAGACCAGGACTTGTGAAGGGTCCCTTCCTAGTACTTCCTAATCCTTGAAGCAGAGGAAGTCTAAAGGCAACCCTGTTTCTGAAGACAGTACCAAACCAGTCAACCTCAAAACTTTTAAGACTTTAAAAAAACAATTGTAACAAAACTGTACAAATGCTGTGTGTAATATTTAATCCCAGAGAACATAGGGGTAGGGGGCATTTAAAAGAATCAGGCTGAGTTACGAGATGATGTATGTATCCTCTAATAGAGTGTACATTTTTTGCAGAGCATGTATTTCAATTAACTAGTTTACGTTTTTGTACCAATATTACAAAAGCACTTTTAAAAATATAAATTCCTTACCCATTTGAATTACATTTATATTCCCTCCCCCACTCCTCTATATGTGTGTGTGTGTATATATGTGCCTCAAATGTGATCACGAGACAATTAATGTAAGCTGGTTTTCCCTGTCCGTCATGTGAGTGCTAGCAATTGACCACTGGTCACCAAAACTGGCAGCAAGCACTTTTACCCACTAAGCTATCTCACCAGCTCCTTTCCTCCAAACATTCCTAAAACACTTTAACTAGAGTCTTTTAGCTTTAATTAAGTATTAGATCAGTCTACATCAGTATCTACTTTACCAAATAAATACAAGAAGTAACAATTTTATGGTTGTCAGTGTAGAGGAATTTTAATATGGCAACATGGCTGCTCTGCAAAGGATCACATCCAAAGACCTTCTAGGTATATGTGATCCAGCTGTAATGACACACCTTTAATCCCTCTGGTCATAATACAGACATGCCCTTAGTGCCTGCCTTTAATCCCAAACAATAAAGGTAAATTTAGTTTAGAAGGAAGCAACCAAAGTGATGGTTAATTGAGGGGCAGACAAAGTGATGAATCAGAGAAAGATTTGATGAGTCAGAGGTGGCATATGCCCAAATCTTATGAGAACAAACAGAAAAGAGAGGCTACTTAAGAACAGCTCAGAGTGAGTCAGGAGTGAAGGGTAGTACAATGAGTGCAGTTGAGTTCAGACTATGAAATGAAGTTCAGTTGTGTTCAGTGCAGATGAATGCAGTTGAGTTTATGCAGTTCTATTCAGTCTGTACACTTGAATTCAGAAGCAGTATTTCTAAGCAAAGCAATTCAGTCAGAAGCCAGGAGAAGCCAGTTTGAATCAGTTAGCTTGGTGAGGAGTTTGAGCCAAAAAAAAACCTGAACTGACCTGGCCAGCCAGAGTTTAGAAAGAACTAGTAAGGGTGAGCTTATTCAGCAGTAAGCCTACGAGACTACAATTACATTTGGCAAATAAAAGTTACTTTTATATGTCAGGACTTTGGGGGCTGAAAGACAGAGGACATTGTCCAGTAAAAAGTACCCACAAACTTTCACATTATCAGTACATTACATGTCAGAATATGTTCTAGAGGTATCTTTTTATGTCTATATATTTTAAGAAATTAACCTGACTCTAGAGACTTGCATCAACAGGCCTCAATATGAACCGCAGAAAGCCCAGTATACTAACACTCTCTGCTCTTCACTGCTAAAGGGAGGCCACCACTAGATATCCAAACCCCTGTTTTCAGGGTATTATAGCTATTATTCTCAGGAAATCTACCACATCAATGCCCTCTGCAGAGAGCAGTTCCCTCTCCAGAACCTCAGAGCCAGTTCTTTCCGAGACTGATCCTGTTGAAATTGGCTACACCTCCCCACCAAAGTCCTAAGCAAGGCTGGGCATCAAGGGAGTGGCTCAGAACAGACAGGTTAAAAGCAACAGCTGTTCCCGTGAAACAACATGAATGGAGATTAGGGAGGAGTATCTGTAATTGTCACTCTAATCCCTCTGCCTGCACCGAAGACTGAAAGCCACTTCAATTCTTCTCTCCAGAGACAAACTGCAGGACTCCAGCTTCTACCCCTAGCCTGGAGTCCCTATCTAATACCAGACTACAGGCTTGGCTATACAAAACACACAAGGGTAAGGGATTCTGGGAGTGGAGGCTATCAGCATGCCCCCTGAGACTTATATTGGAATTTCCACAAAAGATTCCTGGCTCATAAGCTCCAGTTCTGAAGTTGATCCCTGAAAGAGGTAACTTGGCTCAGTATCAAACTGGGTTAGTGTCATAATGCTGCAGTACCACTGCACGGACAGGCTGAATCAGAGTATTGCCAGAACCTATCTCCTTATCAAACTAGGTTGCGTCACATCATGACTTAAGGACTGGTGATAGCCACTATCTGCCATACCACTCCCACTGGTCACCCCTCAAAGTGCAAGTCCTGGACCTAACATATGACACTCACAGCCTAGAGGACAAGGAATATAGGAATCTACAGAGTCCTCTACAACTAGCTCCCCACAGAGTGTTGTTGCTGCTCATCACACTTCAGTGTCAAATGCTTGTAGGGATTTCATTTCCGTTTTCATCTTTGTCAGCTTTACAGGAGATGGGGGAAGAAAGGACCTTTACTGGTGGAATAGCTTTCTATGCCTTTCAGGTGAAACCCTGTCATCTGGGATCCCACTTTTCTTCAAAGGAAAAAAAAAAACTACAAGGACTTATGTATTTTTCTGAAGCTCACATAGGCTGCAGGGTATTGGGGTTCTCCTAGCATGACCTTTTCCAGTAGCATCTTATGCATAGTTTCACCACAGTTCTGCCAGGTTCATAATCACTCATCTCAGAATTCGTTTCTCTCAAAACAAATTCTCATGTCCTATAAATGAACAGATGCTTCCCACTTTTCATGGTCCACTTGACTTCAGAATCTGGCTGCCTCCCTGGCTCCTTAGATATGAGCAAGAATCCCCAGAATCCTCTGGTGCCTGTGTAACTCCATCATGCTTACTTAACACCATCTTAGTACTTAAATAGCTGCAGTGAAATTTGAGTACCTACAGGAAAGAGCGGCATCATTTCTATTGCCTGTCATCCCAACTGAACTGCTTACTCATTTGCAGGTGTTTGCAAAATCAGTTCAGTTCTCACATTAAGTGTTTGGAGGAGAAGCTTACTTCTGTTACTCTACCCTGGGGGGTGGAGTGGGGGAAGGTAAGGAAATACACAAACTCCTAATCATCTTAGCCACAAAATTAAATAACTGCAGCATGTCTGAAATTGTTAATGAAAAAAAACCTCAACAAGTACTTAGGAAGCAGGGCTAAGATTGACTTCCCCAAGATGAACCACATATTTCTCTTCAATCAGGCAAAACCAAAAGTCACTACAGTGCAGAGTCACAGCCCTAGGCAGAACACTACCCTGTACAGAGCCACACCTCCATGTAGAGTCACTGCCTACTGCAGAGCCACTACTCCTGGCAGAGTCTCTACTGTGCAGAGCCACAACCCCTAGCAGCTTTACTATCCTACGCAATACAGAGAAAACAAACTGCAGTGACTATTCCAAACCACCTATGATGTGTCTCCTTTACTGAGTGCTTTTAGGTATTGTCTTTCCATATTGGCAACATAATACATCAAAACACATCACTCTGTCTTTGGTGTAAGAATCTATGACAGATCCTACTAGCCATGCTCCCAAAAACCCAGAAGCCTATTTTTGTAAGCCTACAATGGTGAGCTCATTTTCCCTGACGATGACTGACCTAGTGGAAGCTACATGACCCATCCCTGACCAATCAGATAGTAGGAGAATACGTCTGATGCTTTCAGAAAGACACTGCCCCTGGAAAGAGAACGGTATAAGTAAAAAAATGTTATTAACTTGCCCCTTCCTTTCACCTTAGACATTGACACTGGGAGCCTCAGCTCTGTCATCTGGATGATATAAAGTTAGAGCAGCTGCAGTCATCTTATATGTAAGAGAAAAGAATCACCCTGGATTGCTAACACCGTTGAGCCACTATTTCTACCCCTCGACCAGACACACCATGATGATGCCAAGATTGTATGGAGTGTAAATCAGTGGTTCTCAACCTTCCTAATGTTGGAACGCTTTAATATGGTTCTTCCTGTTATGGCAAACCCCCCTCAACTATAAAATTATTCTGGTTCTACTTAACTGTAATTTTGCTACTGTTATGAATCATAATGTCAATGTCTGATATGTAGGATATCTGACATTTGACCCGTATGGGAGTCATGACTCACAAGTTGAGAACCAATAGTCTAAATTCAGGAAAATTCATTCAGACAACTATGGGTGTAAATGGGTACTCCCAGGGATTGTATTCTTTACACTCAGTGAAGCCAGAGACTGGCATCCAACAGGAGAAACCACAATATGCAGATTGAAAATCACACATGAGCAATAGTACATCTTCAGTGAGCAATCTATATTCCTTGCAGCCACACCCTAGCATAATGTGCAAGAGATTGGGGATGGAGACAGGTCAGGACTAAAGCTCCCCTAGCACCTTGAGGAACTTAGCTTGGTGATCTGGCATCCCTCATCTCGGTTTTCCTGTTGTGTGAAATACAGAAATCACCAGTGTCTTCCCTGTTGTTTTGTTAAACAGGACCCTTTCCTCCAGCCTGGGGAGTCCCAACTCTTATATCTTTCCTCAGCATCTGCCCAGAGACATAGAAAACAGGTAGTGGTTGTACTGTGATTTCCCCACAAATGACCCATCTGTTGATGTAAAATCGAAACTTCCTCTTGCCCTCAGTTCCCTCCACCCCACGAAGGCCAGGAAGTAAACAACCCTTTGTCCAGCAGGATGTCGAATGGCCTGTGGATGGGCAGCAGACCTTCACCATGCTCACAGTGCCTCTGACAAGCTTCCATCCGGTTTTTTTTAACTCTATCGTAGGCTCCTGCTGTACCTTGCCTCATAACCAATCCAGTTCTATTGAACTGACAAAATGGGTCCTACTTCAATGAGCAAAAGGCAGCTTTTTATAAACCATTTCCCATTTAGCTGGCAACTGACTTAACACAGGTGTTTCCCTTAAAAAGTTATTTGTATGCAGTTACTATATAACTAACTAGGTCACAGGACTAAAGCATTCTTTATCTGATGGATGGGGTGGGGAGCTACTTTATGCACTTTCTGTGGAAGCTACAGTTCTGTCATCTCAAGGCTTCTGTTGCTTCTAGCTGGGGAGGGATGAAATTCCACTCAAGAAATTGCAGTATCTCTGGGAGCAGGGCTAAGCTAGATAGAGAAGGGGGTGACAGAAACAGCAAGGAAGTCTTCGCCTTAGAATCTGGGCTTGTTTAAAGTGTCCCTTGCAATTGCCTTGAAATGTCTACTTTTGGTGAAGCTTGCTGAGCAGAGTAGCAATGCTCACTGGGCTTGGGTGAAGACAGAAACCTAAATCTGTGAGAAAGCAACAGTAGCAGAAGAGAAACTAGACTGGGCTCTTTAGCCTAGTTGACTTCAGAATCCTCCATGCCACAGAAACACTTGGGGACCAAATAAATGACAGGGAAAGCTACTAAAAATGACTGTGCTTCCTTTGTCCATTAAATGGGACATAATGTTATTACAGTTTGTTTACTTTATTTGACAGAGAGTACTAGGTTCTTTCTTTTTACTATGTGGATACTGGAATTAAACCCAGGATGAAAGACTTAGCAACAAACATCCGAATATCTCCTGAGCCATTTTACCAGCCCCGGAACTTGCTGTTTTTAAAGGTGAGCATACAATTACCTAGACATCAGATAACAACTCTCATCATCTTTCCAGCCAGGGAAGGCTGGATGCCTGAGTTTACCCAATGTCATCAGTGGTTGCTAGTAAATGTTTAATGGTCAGTTCTGAGGGAGGGAGAAGAAAGAGACAGGCCGAAAAGTTTGATGGCTCTAGGGCAGAAGTCAAGCTTCTAGCTGAGGCTGCTAAATTTGGAACTGACAAAAGATATAGCTCTCCCTCGTTGGTGTCCCTGGCTCTAGCTCATCATTAGGTACAATGAAGCATTTTCCATGGCTTCTTGAGGTATTCATTAAAAAAAAAAAAAGGCAAGCCTCAAGGGATGGTACATGCCCTTCTCCCATTCTTCCTCCCTTCAGACAGGAATGAAGATGTGATGGGTTGAACTCCAATTGCATGTTGGACCCTAAGGAGGAAGCCATGTACTCTGGAACAGTGGGATCCAACACAAAGAGGCCTTGGCTCTGATGACCACAGAACTGCTAAAGCAGCCCTGCAGAGTGCATGTAAACAAATAGAGATAAAGAGAGAGAACGGAGGGAAGGAAAAAAAAAAAAAATATATATATATATATATATATATATATATATATATAGAGAGAGAGAGAGAGAGAGAGAGATTGAGAGAGAGAGACCTAACTTGTAAATATAACAGGTTTTTTGCCCTCAGAAATTTCTTAGCCATTATCAACATGGCAGGAAGAAGCATGGTGCTGGAGAAGCTGAGAGTCCTACGTCTTGTTCCTGCAGGAAACAGGAGAAGACTGCCCACCCCCACAATGACACACTTCCTCCAACAGGCCACACCCATTCCAACAAGACCACACCTCCAAATAGTACCACTCTCTGTGGGCCAAACATTCAAACACATTGGGGCCAAACCTATTCAAACCACCACTACAGAAGAATCTACTAAAGTAGTAGGCTTGCTTGAGAACATGCACTGAACCAAACTAATAGAGGCTTATAGAGCTAATATTTGAAACAGAAAAAAGTAGTGATTTTTTTTTATGGCAATGTGAAAGAGGACAGAGAGGATAAAATGAAGGGAAAGGGTTCTAGTGGATGAATTTGGCACAGGCTGACATGAATGGGAGTGTTTGTAGCAACGCAGAGCAAAAAGTGGGGAGACCAGACCAAGTCAGTAAGAAAGAAGAACACAGGTAGCTAAGGCACAGACAAATGGCTGCAGACCTCTCTTTGCCAGAGATATCGCAGGAAAGCAACTGAATAAAAAACCCTAGAGGTAATATAAAAAGCAGACGAAAATGGGATTTCCAGTCACAGGCTCTCAAATGTGACCCTTGACATTTGCATAACGATCTCAGATCTCTGCTGCAAACCCTCATGGGGTTTGTTCTTGCTCTTCCCTCAGACACGTGGGCATGGGAGTCACAGCTAACTCAGCTCTTATCCTAGCTCAGGCATTTTCCAGCTATAGCAAGTTGTCTGTCTGTCCAGCCTTACTTTCACTGTTTGAATAATTAGAGAAGACCTAAAGTTCTTAAGCCAAACATCTTCACAAATCAAAGCTCTATAAATGAAAGCTATATAAAAGTGAGTGTGTGTGTGTGTGTGTGTGTGTGTGTGTAAAACATTTGATATGCTCTGAGTGGTAGTTGTGCACACCTTTTTATCCCAGCACTCAGTAGGCAGAGGCAAGAAGATTTCTGAGTTTGAAATCAGCCTGGTCTACAGGGTGAGTTCCAGGTCAGCTAGAGCCCTGTCTGGGGGGCTGGGGTGGGGGTCAGGGGGAAGCACGAAAAACAACAACAACAACAAAAACCCAACCAACCAGACAAACAAAAACCTCTTGATATATAATCAAAATTCAAACTTCTCACTGGGTGGTATGGTTTTGAACTACAAATTATAACAAATGGTAACAAGCCAACATACCACACATGTTCCATACCACAATAATCTGTCTTCCACAGACCTGACAGATCTCAATAAAATATAACACTCTCATTCAGCTCTGTGCTATAAATTCTATCTCTACACCCAATTCTCCATCCAGTCCATCCCTCTATATTCCCCAAGTAGCACCACTATTTCTTTGGACAAGAAAGGATTTCTACCATGTTCCTTCTTAAGCATGGGTTTGATCTTCCTAGACCATCTTCACTCTTATACTGCCCCATTGCCCAAGATCTAAATTGTCATCTTCAAACTTTAAAAAATAAGCCAACCATGTAAACAGAAGTCTACCTACTGAGAGGCCTACCTTTCGCAATGCGATTTCAATGGATTACTTTGACAAGAAAATGTTCTACATGCTAAATTACATTTATGCTTAGACAACATATACCTAAGTAAGCCGTCTGCTTCATTCAGATGTAATTCTCAACAAAGAGAAAGGGAACTGTTTCCAAAGTCCAACAGTTAACATTTGAAACAAGAAAAAGAGAAACACTCTCAGGAACCTGTTGGCTACGTGCAGAAAGTATGGGAAACTACCAAGGATGGAGGCTCTGTACTCATTAGCAGTCAAGTGAATTCATTCTTTAGTACGAACAGCTTAGACATAATGAACATAGGTTACAATGCCAGGGGTGGGAACTTCTGTTGCTCGTCATTAAAATGCTCTGCAATCCTCTGAGCCAGCCAGTGCTGCAGCTCCTAAATTCACTTCATAGTTTGTTTCTTTCCAGTGGAATAAGAACAGAAATAACTACTGGATTTTTAGCAGTGCACACATCCAGTGGAGTCGCCCAGAGTAAATGATCTTTGTTTCCTTCAGGCAAATACTTTGAGGCATTTTCAATAAAGCTGAAAGTCAGAGAGAAGGAAATAAACTCACTTGTCAAACTCGCCAAAGAGCTCACAACTCTGCAGTTTTGAAAGTGCCGAGGTAAAATGTGGCTCTGAAAAACAAATGGAGATTATGAATAAAAGGAGAAACATAACTTCTTAGAGACAGTGGGTCACCAGACCCCCTCTCCAAACATGTTTTAAGTCCATTGGCCACACTGGAGTTAATCTATAAAAATTAACAACTTATCTACAGTCATAAATCATAAACCATAGAATTCAGTGAATTTCAACTAAGCAGTCAAAATCTCTGATACATAGGGTATGTATGTAATTAATATGTACTATATTATATATTATACATTATACATATATAATATCTCAATAAGCAGTGGGATGATTGTTGTGTTGTTAAGAGATTGAATAATACCCTCTCAATTTAATAAAAATAAAATCTACTGGTAAAATTAAAATATTAAGGATCTAGACAAGCAGTTCTCAACATATGGGTAACAGTCCCTTTTGGGGGTCTAATATACCTTTCACCAGGGTCACCTGAGACCATCAAAAAACAGATAATTAGTCATAAGAGTAGCAAAATTATACACTTATGAAGTAGTAATGAAATAACTTTATGACCAGGGGTCACGATGCCATGAGGTGGGTTGAAGGACCGCAGTATTAGGAAGACTGGGAACTCATCTAGACCCTGCTGATAAAATAAATAAGAGGAAAACCAGGAGTGGGGACACGTCTCAGTCAGTAAAGCGTTTGTTGTGCAAGTATGAGACCCTAAGGTTAATCCTTGAAACCAACATACGTAACATGCTAGCCTGTGCTTGCAATCATAGCACAGGGCAGGCAGTGGCAAGAGGAAATTGGGAAGACCTCCTGTGGCTCTCTGGTCTGTCACTCTAGCTACTTGGTGAATTCCAGGCCAGTGAAAGACCATGGCTCCAACTTAAAATAATAATTTTTTTTTAAAACTACCATTTTTTACTCTTTGCCACTACACTGCCTCGAAAAGAGTATTTATGTTTAAAGCTTTGATCCTGTCCACAAATCATATCTCCTAGGAATCATTAGGAAACAAAAAGATGTGTCTCGCATCAAACAGCTCTCAAATGAACAGGCAGGGGAAGAACATCGGGACTCACCGTAGGTCTTTATTCCGTAGGGCAACAGAAAGTTATTGGTACCGGTCGTGGCAGCAACCTTAACAAAATCAGATTTACACAGAAATGGGTAAACCTGAGGAAACCTAGAAGGGAAGAATGAAGCATGAGCTTGTCAAATGCCTGCTTTGTTTTCAGCTGTCTAAGACCACAGCTGAAACTCATGGCAGCGAATGGAAGACATTTAACATGCTAGATAGAAGAGCTATGCAGTTTTCAGGCTACAGGGACCAAAATTACATCACAGTGTAAGTAAAACCACACTTTCCAAACAACTCCATGTGGCAAAGTGATGGCCAGGAAGTTATGTAGGTATGGATGCTAAGCCACTCCAAGATTTAAAAGTACCATATGCACAAACGGCACCAGGTGTAAAGACGGAGATATATTGAAAGTTAAACATAGCTGGCCTAAATGTCATTAAACTTGATTCAAGAAGAAAAATTGCAGACATCTGTCATCTTGGTACATGCTCTGACGTCCAGATGTAGCCTATGACCCTCCTGCCTCTCCTGATAAAGCTAGGAAGAGCCCCTGTGGAGTTTAGCACAGAATACAGTTCCTCAACACCTGTTTAACAAATGGGTGCATAAACTTTATCCCAGCATCAACTTTTAAGGGACCATTATAAGGTAGGAAAGGTGCTTATGTGTGTTATTAAAGAGAGAGAAACAGTCTTAACATTTCCACTAATAAGATATTTTCTCCCACCAGAAAGACTATACAACAGGGCTACAGAGTAGGACCTGGCAGGCTTCAGTGCAGGCTCCACACAGGCACTATCTTATTTTGTCCAACAGCTGTGTACTCATATTTAAGCACGCAGGTGGGAACCAGACTAGGCTGGACCTTTACACGGCTGCATGACAAATGGAAATAGCAAGAGCAAAACCAACATGTTTCCAGTTTTAATCCTGCACATTACAAACTGGCATTGAAAAAAAAAGAAAACAAGTAAGAGCATAGCGTTGACAAAATGTATGTTCTAGCTTCAGCACTGGCAGTGACAGAGGCCTCAGAGGCTAGCCAACCTGCAAATGTCACTTCAAAATCGGTGCAGATTTTCCATGTCCAAGACCTACACCAGGGAGGAGGAAATGCCAGGTCTCCAGCTTCAAACTTGGGAGAAGACCCAAAAATCCTTCCAGTCTTCTTAAAGAAGCCAAGCTGTCAAATGTGGCACCAGTAAAGGGTTCCCTTGCTCCGAGCTGGTCAGAGTGATATGACAATAACTGTAACCAGTAACTAGAATGTGCTTGTAGTCAAACTTCTGTTCGTTGCTTATATTTATGTTCTAAATAAATGGTTATTTGGCACAATATGTCAGACATATCAAGAACTCGAAAAGGATTAGTTTTACTGATAATAATTATGAATATCACAATATATACTATACAAATTAAAATGTCTTTTATTACAGGTCTGCAATTGTTACTCCTACAAAAAGCTTGCTATGGTTAAGTACAGGCAGTGAAGATCTTGTTTGGAGTGGAAGCCATTAGCCTGTAAGTGACAAAACTGAAATCTGCACTCAAGCCTGATTTGGAGTCTTCCACACAGTCCAGCTTCCCAAGCAGAGCTTCCTCGGGCTCCTCTCCTGGTTTTACTCATCCCCAGAGGATACTGTACAAATGACAAGCACATGCCTACCTGTCCCTTTAACGACAATCTTAGATGCTTACTCAGCAGTCCTACACAAATAACATAACCTTGGCAGAAGTCTCAAATATTGTATTAGACAAACATGCCTCACAGAATTTGTGACTGCTTTTGTGTCTCCCAGCCATCTAACTAAGTAGCAGTGCGTGGGGACAGAAACGGTTGTAGCCTACAAATTTCTGGAAGCCACAGTGATCGCTCACTGCTCACATTACGTGTAGATCTGTCACTTGCATTCTGTGCAGTTCCGTAAAAGTGAGGAGAAGTTTCTAATGAAGAAATCCTAACAAACATGATCATGTTTATAGCACAAGGGAAAAGAAGCCACAAATAACAAAAGTAGAAAAACAGAATGGGAGAAGGGGTGGAAAAAGACTAGGGACAGTTCTTTTTTTTTTTCTGATCAAATGCAAGTAGGCCTGTCCAGTCTCACCTGAGTGAGGCGAATAGCAGCTCCTATGCCTTTCCTTAAACTATACTCAGGGTGCTGACTAAACACACAAGAACAGACTATTCAAGCTCCTTGACCACTTTCTGATACATGCAGTGTCTACCATGTACCAAGTTTTGCACAAAAAGGATAAAGAGTGTGAAAAATGACCACACAAAGACATCCCGCAAATGCTGGGTGGCCACAGGTTTTTGTGTCTATTTTTTACCTCAGAAGATCACTGAAAGCCGGCTTTTTAAAACAATTCTTGACATTGTTTCTACTCCTCGTTTCTTCAGTTGGGAACCTAAGGGACAGAAACAGTGGTGGTGAGAAACCAGGGATTCTGCCCAAGGAGAAATGTGTACCCCAGGAACACGCTGGGCTCCACTGCTGACCTGCCCTGTAGCAGAGGACACACACGCAGGCACGCAGTCACACATGTGCACATCCCTGATGTTTAATACAACCTTCTTCAAATCCTGCACAAGCTTGGGAATTCATGAGTGAAAGTCAAGGGAGAATGGAAAAGGCCATAGTGACTTTGGGGGTTGGAGGAGCAATGATTCATGGGGACCTAAGTAGGATTACCTCAGGGTGGGAGTCAAACCCACACTCTAGTTTTAGAAGACCTCAAAGGCCTTAGAAACCAAACCCAGCCCAAGTGCACATGGCTTTCATCCACAAGTCATATGTGAGATACCTAGTGACAGCAGACAGTGGAAACTCATGACTTCCACAGACCATTGCCTCGTGATGTCACAAGTCACACCACTGAGAGCCGTATCTCACTGTCCTAGGTTCTTGGCGTCCCTGGTTCCTGAATGGAGTACTTGTCTTCACGACTTGAAAGGGTATTGAGAAACGAAACATGGAAAGTAAATGGGGGGAGGGGTGGGGGACGGGAGGAAATAGCCAGGGAAGAGCAAAACAGGAACTCACATAAGAACTCACTGGTCATTGATGATATGAAGGATTGATGCTTTAGAAACTAATTTTAAAAAGTGAATGAGAAAAAAGGTTAAAAATTATTTAGTTTCTTTCTACTATAAATAGGACTCAATGTGAATAGAGTGAACCTTTTATAGACAAATCATTTTCTTTTTGTTTTAAAGTGTAAAATCTCCACAATTAGAACTAGTAAGCTACTGAACAAGGAGGATGTAAGTCCTTATGTAATGAGATATTTTGAGAATTCTGCAATGGCAAAGATCATTTGGTTTATACATAATAACAACACATGGCCGTGGTCAACCATCACAGCAAGTCGCAAACACTATATTATACTCAACGAGTCTATTACTTCATATCTAAGGTTAGAAACACAGAAGCAACACAATGACAGAAAACAAACAGCTGTTTTAGATTATGGATACAAACTTTAGGGGGCTTTGAAATCAAAGACAATCACTCAGTTTTTTTTCTTGTCATTTGCATGTGTCGTGTACATGTCACATATGTGTGGATGCACCCATGTGTGTTGCATGTATGAGTGGAGGCTCAAGGTTGACATTGGGAAATCTCCCTTGAATGTTCTTCGTGAGGCAGAGTCACTCACCTAAACCCAGAGTTCACTAATACTGTACTAATATTCACTAATACTTGTGAGCCAGCTTGTTCTGGGGAATCACTTGTCTCTGCTTTACAAAGCTTAAATGATAGGTGAGTGCCAATATCCACTGTGTATTCTGGGGATCCAAACTCTTGTCCTCTTATTTGAACGGCAAGTGCCTTAAACCCCAAGTCATCTCCTATTGGTTTTGTTGTGTTTGTGTAGGCCAGAGACAACTTGGGGCATGGTTCATCCTTAAGTACTATCTACATTGTTGTCTCTAGAGTATCTCACTGAGAACCAAGGTCTATGGATTAGGCTCAGCCCACTGACCAGTATGTACTACCACACCTGACTATGTAGGAGGTAGGGCTCAAACTCGTGTCTTTATGTTGGTATGGAAAATATTTACCAATTTTCCTGCCCCTACAACTGTCTCTCAAGTATAGGCAACAAAAGAAGCCCTGAATAAAGTCTGAAGTGAAAGTATGCTTTTGACATGGACTCAGTCATACAAGAACCCCATCGCTTCAGACTTATGGGATGGCAAAGCTTTCCTTGGGGAACTGATTCTGTCTGTCAGCAGCATGTGCTGAAAATATCCACCATAGCTTTCTCCCATGATGTGCATGGCCTGAAGACACTCCCCTACAGAGACTGCTCTTATCAAGGTTAGTTTAACCTGTCACTTTGATCCAGCTGTACAATATAAACCCTGCCTCCTGGCTTACGTGTATGAATAACCCTGCTTTCCTTTCTAGCTGTATACAATAACTTGACCTCTCATTTCAATTGTATATGCTAAACACATTGAGTTTCCAGGGTGCTGAGCCTTCTCTAGCAAAGAGCCCAGACCAATCACCAAATCCCAGCTATCCATATGTCCATCTGCCTGTCTTGTCTTTGTTTCCTTGCTGTCCCATCATGGCCATCACTGAATGCTATGCAAAGACTTGGTACCCCTGCCTCTCTTAAACAGTTTTGAAGGAAACAAGACCACAGTGCTCATGCACATTAGCTGTGACCTCCCAGGTCTTGTCAATGAGTAATGTTTGCTTAATTTAAACACTCTTCAAATTCTGATGACAGAAGATGGTTGTGAATTCAAAGTCTTCCGATTATCTTCTTTATCATTTCCTCTGTGATAAACAGGATGTATAGAAAAGTAGAATAGTAGGTAATCTAATCTTGTGGCATTTGGAATTAGCTAAGAGATATGCCTTTAGGTAAGTATTGAGAACATTTCTAGTAATGATTAATTGAGGAAACAAGACCCTACTACAGAGGGGATGGCACCTTCTGCCAGGTAACCCAGATAGAAAATGATCAGCGGAAAAAAGCAACATAGTTTGCTTGCCCTTTTTGCTTAAGAGTGTGTCTGTCCTTCATTGACATAGACTCCAACTTCTGTCTTCCAATGTGAACTAACATCCAGCAATTTTGAAGAATCCTCCAACTCTTCATCAGAAGACTGGGTTTGCAGAAGCAGCCGGCTTCTCAGGATGAGTGACTACATGAGCCTCTCTCAAGGTGTCAGATAACCACTGTTGGAGTATCCAGACCCTATCATGGAAGCCATTCTAATAAATCCCCTTTTATAATGTATGTACGTTCTATGAGTTTTATTCTTCTAGAAAGCCCTATTACAAATAATAACATAGCAAGCATTTTGCTTTTTCTTCATTTCTTCTATTATTAGGAGGTGGCAGACATGAAGGAAGAAACTCCTGTGGGGTGATATTCATTCATTCAATTCTTAATCAGACTTCAAAGTTCAAAGTTCACAAATGGTCCAGCGTTTAGGTCTTAAGGCTAAAATTGTAGGGCCAAATTATCCACCTGGCTTTAGGTTTTCTTTCAGAGGTATTTGCTTAACATTATTCCAGGAGAAAGCACTACCATACTTCTTCAGTGACGGAAGTACAGAAAACAGAAACCTGGGATTTTTTTTTTTTCATCTCACTAGAAACAACCTAAGATCCACTGAAACACTGACAAAACACTGATCTTCTATGTAAGACAGGAAGTCACGATCTGATTTATTTGGATTTAATTGTGTACTGACATCCATTTACAAATTAAAGGTCAACTAAACTTTATTCTTAGCTGACTGATTGAAATTGGAAGCATGAAAAACACACTTATTTCTGTGCAGTATGCCTCAACATTTTAAAGTATTTTATATTGAAGCTATTTTGAAATACACATTGTAATTTTAAACAAAGGAAACTGAATGCCATGTGTATATGTTAGCAGTAACAACTTAAAACTGATGCTGAGTCCAAGAACTGCTTTTTTAATTCAAGAAAATGAACTATTGGATAAACACAGAATGGTATATCCTGCACAAAGATAGGGGAGTTAGCAATAGGTTGAGGCTGGAGGGGGTGGCTCAAAGGCTAGGAGCACATACTATTCCTGAAGAGGACCCCAGGTCAGTTCCCAGCAACCATCTGGAACTTCAGCTCCAGGGGATCCAATACCACCTTCTTCTGACATCTATTGGGTATCTACACATACATGTATATAATTACACAAAAATATGTACATACGTTCACAAAATTAAATTTTTTAAGAAATAGGGCTAACAAGGTTTTTTCCTTAAAAATCTCTCTCTCTCTCATTTGTGTGTGTGTGTATATGTTTGTCTGTATATGAATTTATCTGTTTGTGTGTGTATGTGCGTATGTACATATGTATGTACATGTGTGTATATGTGTGTATGTATATATGTGCACAGTGTATGCCTTGAGTATACACTATGAGCATATATATATATATATATATATATATATATATATATGTATGTGTGTATGTATATATGTGTGTATATGCATGTGTATGCACATGTTTGTGTACATGTGCAATGTGTATGTATGGATATGCATGGATATGCATGGGTATGCATGGATATATGTATGTACATGTTTGTATGTGTATGTGTGTATATCCATGAGTATATGCGCATGTGTACTCATGCATCTGTGAGTATGTATGTCTGTGTATGTATGTATGGACATGTATGCATGCATGTGTAGGTATGTGTGTGCAACAACGCATCCGTGTAAACATAAATATGGATGTGTATTTGTGTATGTATACACGAAATCGTGTGTGTGTGTGTTATGTTCTTGTCCTGCTCCTCTACAACTCTCCCTGATTCTTTTGTCCTGCTCTTCTACAGCTCTCCCTGATTCTTTTGAGACTGGAGCTAACCCTGATTTTTGATTAGCCATCACTAGCAATCTTTCCGTTTCTAATTCATCCCTCCTTCCCAGTGTTGAGATTACAAACGCCCAGAATCCTGCTTGGTTTTCATATGAGTTCTAGCAATCTACATCCAGATCTTTATACCTGCAGCAAGTGCTTGACCCACTAGGCCATCTCCCTAAAATTTTTAAACTGTTAAATGGGGGGAAGACTAGTTTGAAAGTCATGTTGTGTAGTAAAATCTGAAACTTACCAATTGCCGTTTGTTCCCCACAGGATACAGTATAGCACATAATAGAGGAAGATGGAACTCAGGAATATGGCCACCAGGTACCCTTTCATGATGGCTGGCCTGCCTGAATCAGGGTCCAAAGCAAGAGGAGATGAATATGCAAAAGTCTTCCACGATGGTTCAAATACATGAATTAGTAAATAAATCTATAGAGAAAGAAAAAAAAGATATGGATCTATTACATTGAAAATGCTTACTGAACATACAGAAAGGACACTTTTGTTTATTCTCTTAAGTAACTTATCAACATACAATATGATACATGTTTTCAACAGCCAACAGTTTTGTAATATCAAAGCTAGAGGCTTCCTTGAAACGTTTTCATGCTTGGTAAAAGAGTAAAAACTTATTTCAAAAAACAGAATTTACATATCTCTATACCCAAAACCTTTCTTCCAAAACATTGAAGAATGCCCCTTTTTTAAAATTCTTCTTAATAAAAAGTATGTGCTTCAAGATGTGAATAACCATTTTACTTCCTTGGGGCCTCAATTGACTTCAAATATTATATGTAAGTGTTTCAGAGCTCATTTTCCGTTTTTAAAAGTCAGAAAAAAATTTCACTGGAACATTACAACTTTTAGATGTCCATATTTGACTTTTCAACATCACAGCATACGTACATCCAGTTTTGTTTTGGATTAGTGTGTTATTCATTGTATCGTCATAGTCAGAAAAATATAGATGACAATCTTCTCTAGCATGTAAATATACACATAGCACTTTATGGAATAGAAAGTATAACCAGTGGTTCTCAACCTATGGGTCATGACCGGGTTGCATATCAGAGATCCTGCAAATCAGATATTTATATGTTGATTCAGAACAGTAGCAAAATTACAGTTACGGATGTGGCAATGAAACAGTTTTATAGTTGGGGGTCACCACAACGTGAGGAACTGTATTAAAGGGTTGCAGCATTGGGAAAGTTGAGAACCACTGGAAATATCTGAAGTCTGTTTGCTTGGTACCCCTCTTCTTTCTTCAAAAAACAGACATGAAGAACCTCCTACTTTACTGTGTGATTAAATGCAGAAGGCAAATAGTAGTGCTATAACACATCGTTTATTCTTTTTATTTCAGTGCATTTGACTTTTACCAGGTATACTATTGCTTTGCTTCCCTTACTAAGGTCCCAAAGGATCTGAATAACTGCACATACCATTCCTTTCTTTCTTACCTGTCTCCAGCAACCCCAATCCAAACACCTGAGTACACAAAGTGAGGTCAGGCTGGAAGCATTTGCAATTTCTTCAAAGAGGAAAGAAAGTGAAAGGAAGGAAAATAAGTTGAAGTGAAAAAGTTTTGTTTTTTGATTGTTTATGCGTTTTTGTGTGCACATACACATGTATGTGTGCATCCATGTACAAACCAGAGGTCAAGCTCAAGTCCCATTCCTCTTCAGCTATTGTCTTTTTTTTCTCTCTCTTTTTTCTAGGCAGTGTCTAGACTAGCTGGTCAGACGTGTCTGAGGGACCTTCTAGACTCTGCCTTCCAAGCAGTAGTAGCATACATCTTTAATCCCAGCACTCAGGAGGCAGAGGCAGGAAGATCTCTATGAGTTCAAGGCCAGCCTAGTCTACAGAGGGAGTTCCAGGACAGCCAGGGCTACACAGAGAAACTTTGTTTCCAAAACCTCAACAACAACAACAAAAATTTGCTACCATGCCCAGGTTTTTAAAATGTATTCTGAGGGTGGGATTCCTGTCCTTTCCTCATGCCTGTATAGGAAGTACTTTACCTACTGAGCTATTCTCTTATCCCCTAGCTGGAAATCTGAAGCCACTTTTAAATGGAACACAGTAAGTAAAAGTTAAGTTTTTTGTTTGTCTTTCTAACCAAGGGTCATATTAGGAATCACAGTTGTCCTGTTTCTCATAGCTGAGATTCACTGGTGCTAATGATAACGTAGGAAACTTGCTAAGCAGCTCTAAACTGTAATGGCCACCTGACTGAGCTTGCTTGTCACTTCTGACTGACAGCAATTGCTCTGTGTGTCCCCTTCTAAGTACCATTATAATAAATTAGTTTCAAATGACAGGGAAAGCAAGTAAACAAGGGAGTTAGCTACCTAAACTTTAGTCCACACATGCCTGTAACTGAATTTGTGTAATTCACCTAAGGTTGGAGGCCTTAGGTCAACCAGTTTGCTTGTATCTGAATGCCTACACATGTCTATAAGCCAAAACATACCCTCAGTGTCAGCAGATTGCCACACTATCCTAGAAAGCAACTGACCACAGTCTAAGGTTGTCAAAAAAATAATGCTCAAAACACGCATTTACATTTCTGCTCAAAAATAATATTTATGTAAATAAATAATAAAAATATAATTTACTAGTATCAGCAAAATTTTGAAAATATAGTTACAAATAAGGGCCCTAGAAAAAAGATATCAGTATATAGCATTCAATCTTCTTCTTTATGCCTTAGATCATACTCTTAGGGGTAATTTTATAAAGCACAGCATTTGTAAGCAAGAATCTTGTTATTGTCTTGTTTTTCACTCACTAATGTGTAATTCAACTGAAAACAAAGAAATATAAGAAAATGTTCTCATTTTTTTCCTTCAAAAAGTAAAATAAACCTGCTTTTGATGTGGCACTTGGAGAAAAAAAAAAACTTAGGAAGCTTAGGTACTTTCTAGAATTTCATGGCCAACTTTAAGCTTTGATATTCAAAGTTGCAAAGAAGGCCAGGGCCAACCAGGATATCCTGGTGATAAACATGTACGGACCCTCTGCTTGTTCACAGGAAAAAGTTTTCACAAATAGATGGATTCTCTCATTATAATACGGTAAACGGAATAGCTATGTTGCTTGGAGCAAAAGTATACAAAGGAAAACCACCCAGGATTTTATATAGGATATCTGGCTTCAAAAAGCCATAAAGGTCTAGAATTTAATTTCCACAGAACAAGCAAGTGCATTTTAAGAGCTTGATGTTAAACATGAGGGGTAGCTGATTTTGAAGCACAGGTGTCCTTCAAACCAGAAGGTCACAAACTTTAACATGTCGACTAGGGGCTTCGAGGAAGTCAGAACTCTACAGAGGGCCCAAGTTGAGCTTTTCCTCAGTGCCAAAATAAGCTGAAAAAAATGGCAACACTTTGGGCTAGGAGACAGTTTCACTTCATGAAGTGTTTGCTATGAAAACATAAGGACCTGAGTTCAGACCTCCAAAGAAGCTGGATGTGGATGCATTTTCTATAACTTTAGCACTTGGTGGGAGGGAGGATTGGAGTCAGGAAGTGGAAGATCCCTGAAACTCACTGACCAGGCAGTGTGGCTAAACAGATGAATTCCAGGTTTAGTGGTTCTCAAAAAATAATGAAGAAAGTGATGGAGAAAGATAACCAATGTTGGTCTCAGGCCTGCATACACATAGGAGTACCTTTCCCTCCCCTCCTCCCTCCCTCCCTCCCTCCCTCTCTCTCTCTCTCTCTCTCTCTCTCTCTCTCTCTCTCTCTCTCTCTCTCTCTCTCCCTCCTTCCCTCCCTCCCTCCCTCCCTCTCTCTCACATACACACACACACAGAGTTCTTTTTTTTAAGACAACAGCTTTCCTTTTTCTTCAATAACAAAAGAATGTACTATCTGTATTGAGCTTCTAAATTCACAAACAGACAGTAATTGTAGTAATGCCTGTAAGGGCCACAACAAGCTTGCTAGATGGCTATGTGGGTATGAGCCTCTGGGTGATAAAGGCTGTCTCCCATCACACAACTTAAGAGAGAGAAAAAGAGTTTAGTCTGTCCGTTAGAGATCTATTCCAGTGTCACCCTGTCACCTCAAGATAAAAAACAAGAGAAGACCCTGAATGACAGAATTGTCATCTAAGACTTCCTCATGGTACGTTTGTTGGCATTGGTCTGGAAGTGCTGATAACTGTAAAGAGGAGCTATCTTTAGAGCAGAAACCAAAGGTCAGTACCAGCCAGGGTGAGATAGGACCCATATGAACCGGTTACCACCCTGAACGTGAGATTCTTAATGCCTACAAAAATTTGGGGATCGCTGCTTTGAGATTCACTATAGAACTATGAGGTAGGAAAAGAAAATTATTGGGTTTTGTTGAAGTATAGAGATCACAACAGATGCTACAGTAAGTGTCCCAAATATGGTTTCATGTTTCCTGAAAGCAGGCATGACTTATTGCATTTTAATCCCAGGGCCTGTCACACAGAAGTTGCTAAATAGAGGATTATTGGATTTAGATACAGGTATCAGAACTAATTTTATACTAGTTCTATACTAGTTCTATACTATACTAACAGAACTAATTCTATACTATACTAACTGTTCTATACTATACTATTTTATACTATACTAATTCTATACTACACTAACAGAACTAATTCTATACTATACTAACTATTCTATACTATACTATTCTATACTAACTAATTCTATACTATACTAACAGAACTAATTCTATAATAATTCTTCACTGTAAATGCCAAGTATGTGGCATGTGTCCAAGGAATAATGATGGCATAAATTCACTGAGAAATGAGCACTGGCATGTGCCAAAGCATCTGGGAAAGGATTTCAGTGTATCGCTGCTGGCCCCACTGACAGCCACCCTTGGCGGAAGTGGTAAGCTTACACAGTTGCTATTTTAGGAGGAAGAAGCAGAAGGGATGAGAGAAGTTTCCCACTTGACATGTAGCAGAACCATGACTCAAACCGTATCTATCTCAGCAGAATCTTTATACGCACCACCTCTCCCAGAGGCACCCTTCACAGATGAGCAGCTCTGTACTTTTGACACCAGATTAAACATTACAGAATGTTTCTATCCCTGCCAATTTCACCCATTTCATCAACAATATTAACTCAACATCAATTAATAAAGTGGAAAGGTTACAGTCTGACACAAACTCTGCTGAAATAAAACACTATTATTAACCCTCTTCCTTCCAACCTGCCCCTCCACACCGTACACAGTGAACTTTATAAAATGGTACTAGAAAAATGGTCATATTTTTCTTGGGGTGGGGGAGGTCTCCTAATGTTTTCTCTAACCCAAGGGGACTTGCTAATCTGAACTGCCAAAAAAGAAGAAGGAGAAGGAGAAGGAGAAGGAGAAGGAGAAGGAGAAGGAGAAGGAGAAGGAGAAGGAGAAGGAGAAGGAGAAGGAGAAGGAGAAGGAGAAGGAGAAGGAGAAGGAGAAGGAGAAGGAGAAGGAGAAAGCATGTTCAAAAACAGTAGTGAAAATTCCAAGTACAAAATACCTTGTGGGTCTTGAAATCAAGGTCATTCAACAGCAGATTGGAAACAGCCCTGGTGTTCACTTTTTCCAATGCAGGGGTGTTCATAGACCCCTGCTGTCTGGTTTTCATGGCTCCATTTCCCCTTGGCCTTTCTCCAGGGGCTTCTGAATACCCATTTGTAGGCTAAGCCACCCTCATGATCTGGTGCTGATCTTGCTTCAGGAAAAAGACAGGCTGCAGAGCCCAGAGCTAGCAGCTCAACAATTTGATCAGGTTCCTTCAGAGAGCATTCTTTGCCAAGCTGGTTCCTACTGGTAGGTTTCTACATTAGATCACCCTTTTCTAATATCTGGATTCATCTCATACTCTATCTCACTTGCCCCTTCTCCCCGCAACTCGGCAGCTAAACTTTATTGTTTATTTCTTATAAGTTACTAAGGCCCTAAACCACCATGTCCCCATGCTCTCTATGGCAAAGCCTTCTTGTGCTTCTTGCTTGCTCAGTGATATAAGCCTTAAAGGTTCAGACTAGGCCTGATCTCATACCCAGAGTGCTGATGCTAAGACCTAGTAGATTACCTACTTGTGAAAATAGAAACCTATACCTCACTAGCTCCATGTGTGCCTGTGGGGACCCGATACCTATGATTTTCAGCCCAGGTAGGGTTCAGCTGTGACTTTCTCCTTCGTCACCCCTCATCCATGGCTCACCTCTACATCCTGACCCAGGAACCCTGCTGACACCTGTGTCTGTTCGGCGCTCTGTTCACCCTCAGTTCACAGGAACACGTGTTCAAACCGCCTGAAATGAGGTCATCAGACCTCACATCCTGCCTTCCTCTTTACATGTATTGCTCAGTCTGCAATGACATGCCCATGTGAAAAAAAAACTGAAAACCTTGAGTCTGTGTTAATTTCTAACGTTTAGATCCAGCCCTAAGCCTGAGCCTCCTAAACCCAGCCATCTCTGCTTAGCCCAGGTCTCACTGGAAACACTGGATCCCACTTTGACAGATGGGAAAGCCTCAATCTTCAACT